GTTAGAGCAACAGCACCATACGCTGTGGATGCCGGTTCATGCCCTGCCCGAGTCGTAATTTTTTTCAATTTATAATCGGTGTTTAATTTAAGATAAACAATCGATAAGAAAAATTTTGGAGCCGGTCGGGGATCGAATCTACGACCACACATTACATCGACGGGCATGTCAAAAGTGTAGAAAATATCCTAATATTGTTTCACTTTTGCCTGCGAAGTGCTAAGTTAAATTTGAAGGTGACAGGTTCGCGGTATTAGCTCGCTACGTCTGGAAGTCGTTGCGGCGACAGTTAGTTAGTTAGTGGTGCCATTAGAGGAGCGTCTGCGAAGCCTCATTCCTCATTAGTACTGGCTGCTGTCAAAACGGCTTAATTACTCTCGCGAAATTCACATTAGTGTAATCCCGTCGTAAACAAACTTTGACGTGCGGTATGCGCGTGCATCGCTGCCGAAATGTTTTATCATCGGTTCCCTATAGCTACGATGTTGTAATTAAAAAGTATTCTAGAATTGCCTCCGTGTATATACATAGCTTAGAATAGCGTTAAGTTTGGAAGATAATATTGGACGATGGAAGGGGCACATATGAAGGTCTTATTGAACTCAAAATTAAATCTATTGTTGAAACGGATACTTAAATGTTTCAACTCATAATACAGGCGAAACACGATTTAACTTTTATATTGTAGTATTTAAGTTTCGAAAATATATAATTGTTAGTCAACTATATTTTGTTCTACAACATTTGTCCTAACCCAATTTTAAATCAGGGATTTAAAAACGCCGCAACCATACCTAGCTTTCAATGGGCCCGTTGATGTAATGATATAGCTAATAATCAACCAGTCGTTAATTAGAGGTTTCACATTTTTCTGATCAATTTACAATTTAAATAAAACACTAACGGTTTAAAACGTGATATGTATTGTTAAAGCAGTCGCGGTCACGGGAAGACGGGCAATGCATCCGAAACGGCGGGCCGTAGTTAATATAATTTTTAAATATCGCGTTTTAAACCATTGAAGTGTTTATTTATTATTCCGTTCGGGTCACAAACCACCGTCCATAGATAAAAAAGCTGTAGAGTTTGTGTTTCGCGTCAGTCTGTGGATTTATAAATATGCAAATCCAAAATAGGTTGACCTTGTATAGATTTTATATGACTCGGTTATTTTACCCACCATCAAGTGAAACGCCATGCTTGTCTGTGCTCCTCTATCACAAAAACAATGCTATTTCAGTATATTTAACAGCTGGCAACTAAAGTTCGAAAACTACGTTAAAAAAGCATTAGTCCAACATCGTAGTTGTGCTCAATATAAAGGTTTGCAAAGTCATTAGTTTACTGACTTCTAGCGTTCTGCCGTCGCCATTAGACTTGGCTCGCGCCACGAAGCGCACCTTATCTTGACGCTGCTCACTTCATGTTTATTACTCGTACAGAAGGCAATACTATGTTTATTAACGACTAGCTGTGCCAGCGACTGCGTCCGCTTAGAATTTATTTTGGGCGTCCAAACTTAGGTTTACAAACCTCCTCATCTTTACAATTTTAAGCAGTTACCCACGCGCCCCGTCATTCTCAAAAGACAGACATATAGTATCGCGAATTTTTTTTTAGATATGTTCAAGAGAAATTATTGTTTTATACATATTTTTTGGTTGTCTTGAACCGTTTTATATAGATGAATTACCCGTTAAAAACCACACTTCCCGCTGTTTCTTCGCTCCTATTAGTAACAGTGCAAAGTTATATAGCCTATAGAGATTCTCGATTAATGCAATAATTAACACAAAACAAATTCAACTTGAATTAGTAGTTCCTGAGTTTAGCGCGTTCAAGCAGACAAACAAAATCTACAGCTTTATATATTAGTATAGATTTGTTCTAGGCGACCTACCGACCTACTTCACGACCCGAATAGATAAGAGACGTTCAAAGTTGATTTCTAGAATGTTACGCTTGCTGTCGAAGGAAACTTGCATATATAGAAGCATATTATGCTATGGTTGATTGGTAGCAATGTATGCCTAATAAATAAACAGCGTATCGTGGGTTCGAGTCCTGATGGGTTTTTTTTAAATTTATAATTGGATAGCAAGAACCACGGAAAAGCCGAAAAGCACATCTTGTATATCGCATCGTGTAATATAGGCTGAGGTAATTCTGAAGTACAACGAAGTCTCTAAAACAACACTGCCCCAGAACAACTCTTATTATCTTCGGGGCACGCAAATTGTGGCATTTTATCTGCCAAATTCCCTTATCGCGAATTAGGACTCCTCGCATTCCGTTTATGGGTAAATTGGACTGCTCGTGTGCTTTAATTTGTTTTTTATAAAAGGGTACAAGCATGGTTTTCTCTTTATGGGTGGCGGGCTCTGTAGTTAAAGGTTTGACGTGTTACATAGCATAGCGTTAAGCGTAAGGGGTTCCGGTTACGAATTCCGGGGAAACAATAGAATGTTTCGGCCGGGAAGGGCACAAAAGTATGAAACGAACACAGAAATGTGTTTGCCTCTTAGCCCTTAAGAACAACAGGATTTTACACTAAGGTAGGTGTAATAACCCATCCATATAACATCTAGACAAGACTCGCTGTCGACCTATTTTAGCTTTGGATATTCGGAAATCCACAGGCCGAAACCGAAACGCAATTTTAACTTGACCTTATCTGTGGACAAATGCGCGTGACCCGGATAAAATTTTAAATTTCCTACCACCTTCAAAATACAAACCTACAATTGTCTAATTTAGGGACGGGGCACTAGTTGACCTTATTAGCTACGTGTTCGCGTAATTTCGTTGTCCTTTATCGCCTACTTTGAATAAACAGGTCATTAGTGATGTAACCTTCGGATCGGTGTAGAGTCGCAACTGGTACGGGTCGTTGCCAACGAATACGCGTACATTTGCGTTACGAGCGCGGCCCGTAGACATTGGTAAATGCTATTAGCCAGTAACGATTCAGCTTGAGCACTGTAGAGCTCTCAGGTTGCCAAATTGAAACCATCCTTTAGGCTGTGGTCAGCTATAAATGCCGTGGATCGCATCCGATACGCGTACGCCCATTTCTGTTAGTAAATGGAATGTTATTGTCTCCCTCACACGCTGATACAAACTACTGCCCCATTCTAAATTTAACGAAAGCTTTGTTTGAAGTCCTGAATTCGAGTCCGAAATATTAGTTCGATATTTAAGAATTTTTTGAGAAAATTTACAGTAATAGCCAAAAGTTTAGAGAAATACTAAAGTAATAAGTAGCTGTTAACGCCCGTATTAGTGGAGTATAGTGGTCCCCCCGTGACCAAGGCTGTTGCAAGGTATCCGAAACGTCAGACCGAAGTAATTTGGTAAATATGTTTAATTTCGAGTTTAAACGAGCGAGTCTAAGGTATTAAACCATCCCGCTATGAGAGATGCCTTTTCGCACTTGTGAGACTCGTTCTAAATCTTTTTTGACTAGTGTTGAGATCAGGACTATTTTCGTCGTGTTCAGACCAACAAATTCGGTTCTAATATTTATCATCGTGATGCGGTCAACTTCGTTTATAGGAGACCGTAGCCTCCTTCGAACAAAATGAACGCTATTGAATATTTCCGAGCCACTCTACCTGTTGGCCGGCTCCTGCCTTCAAAAATTCCGATTGGCCTATCAGATTTTATCAACATTGGTTAAATTGCTGCCATTGATTGGGAATTTGAGCGTTTTCAAGAGAATTTTTGGAGGACTTCATCTTGGAAATTGGCAATCAGGCCGGGCCTTTGTTTAGAAAGGATGTCAGTTGTTTTCGTTGATAAACAGCTGGAAAGTTTGTGCGAGAGATCAATATGAAATCACTTTTTATTCGCTCTGTTTAGATAACGATTCTAAAAATAAAATGCACAATGAAATACTTTAGAATTGGTATGCTGCGCGTCGCCGTTTGTTCTTGTTTATTCAATCAGAATATATATTTTTGATCTAAGAAGCATGAAATGGGAATCGACGTTGAATTTCAGATGCATGTTGTTTGAGACGGGTGAAATGTACGTCATTTGTATCTATATAATGTATAAAGCTGAAGAGTTTGTTTGTTTGTATGTTTAAACGCGGTAATCTCAGGAACTACGGGTTCGAATGAGAAAAATACTTTTGCGTCGGTTGTCGAGGAAGGCTATAAAACATCGCCCTGTGACAAGCAAAGATACAGCGAGAATGTGAAAAAATTGGGAAAATTATTCATCATTATGTGTTTCTGAGGCGTACACTGCAAAATGGGATCAAGATACTCAAAAAATATGTATAAAAAAGTATACAAAAAGTCTCCGACTATATGTCTATCTTTTAAGATTAATTTGCAAGAACGACGGGAAGGAACGCGACCGACGCAGCGGGCTTAAGTTTATAAAGTTGAAGGAATTGGATCGAATTTAGATGCCCAAAATAACGATATCGCGGACGAAATCGCTGACACAGCTAGTTGAATATAAAATGATTACCAAGAATTGTGATAATTTACAGTCCATTTAGCCGTTCCCATTCCTAGAATTCCGAGTTCCAATTAGGGTGTCTAGGCCTTACACTGGCTGGCTAGTTGGCAGATTCTACATGTAGTCGAAAATATCGTTGGTTATGAGATGGTCTAAACACGAATGTTTTCTTAAACAGCCCAATGATAGAAATATAGTGGTGTTTAATTATCATAAATATTATTATGAATATTTATAAAAAATGTAAATATTGTATAAAACTGTCCGTTCTTTTGCCATATGAAGTATTTCGATCAAAATCGCGGGCATTTTTTAAGATTATTTAAAGAAAAATATTTCTTTTATACATATTGTCTGAGCAGCTTCAAGGCAAGCCTTTCTCGATAAATGGTGCACCCATCACAAAAAGATATTTTTAATTGAACTGTTCATGATAATAGCGCGTTCAAACAAACTCGTCACTTTTAAATTATTAGTATAGACTAGGAATAAAAACAATTGAAATCTTAATTTTATCTTATTCCCAGATACAAGGTGGAAGTCGCAGGCAAAAGTCTGCCCGTGCTCACCACGCTGGACAAGGGCCGCTACGGCGTAATTGTGTTCGAGTCTCTGTCGAAATACGCGAACATGGACAAGTGGAATCGAGAACTTCTCGACAAGTACTGTCGTGAATACTCGGTAGGGGTAGTTGGGTTCGCCACGCCCGGCGAGGAGACATTAGTAGGGGCACAGCTAAAAGGATTCCCACTCTTCATGCATACCAATCTCAGGCTTAAGGTAAATTGATTTTACACTGCATTATTATTTGTAACACTTAAAAAGGGTACGCTCCTTCCTTAGTGAGGTGCTGGTAAGCAAAGATAATTATTTAAAATAAGGTAGCTGCTGCTTCTTTCTTTTTGATAATTTTAAAATAATAGGAAAATTCCTCTTCTACAACCTAGAACCATTTTATGGTATAGTTCATCATTTTATACCACGAGGTATTCAAATTCTACTTTAATTACTACCTAAGTTTATAAAGCATATGCTGCTGTTATTTTTAATAACAAGACTAGTTTATAAAGAAAATACTAACATATAAGTATGTTAGATACGTAACAAGTGAGAAAGATTAAATGTGAATCTTTGTTAATAATAAAAGCTAACGTGATTTATTTATTGCACAAAATGATGATACAGAAAGAAAAACTATTACATTAGTCATAAGGTTGTTTAAGCCTTTCATTATGGATCCCTAAATAGAGACACAGTTAATAAATAGTTTATAATTTTCCCCATCTGTTATAGTCTAAATAAAAAAAAAGCTTCTTAAAGCGAAGACATATATGTTAACCACTTATAAATATAGCATTACCACATACATAGCCCATTTAAACGAAAGTTTGCTCCCTCAAACTCCGAATTACATCTAACGAGATGCCCATTAGTGACGATGTTTGTTCCGCCCGCTGTTATTGTATTATGACGTCACTAAAACTAAATTTTATTTAAGGCATGTATTTTTGATATGAGAAGAAAAAAGAACAAATTTATTTTTACATATGGTCTTAACAGGGTTATTGTTAGTAAAGTTAGGTTCTTTACATATATTTAACTGGCCAATCCGACAAACATTGTTTTCTTATTTGCTACAGTAATTTTAGGATGTACCGTACGAAAAGATGTTGAGTATTCTAATGGACCATCTGAGAGAGCTTCGTCACATGAGCTTAAAACTAAACTAAGCCAATAAAGGATTACACAAATTATAATTAACTTTTTCTATCAACACAATTGTATTAATAGTCTATTATTTTTAGGATGCATCTTTGAATCCGGCGTCACCAGTTCTTCGATTATCCCGTGCTGGTGAGACAGCTTGGGGTTCTCTGCCGGGAGACCATTGGACTGTGTTCAGACCAAATAGCTCTACTTACGAGCCAGTTGCGTGGGCGTTACGGGAGAACGAATATGGAACCAATGGTAAGTTCCAATTTATTTTTTATCGATGGCCCAACTCAAGATAAGTTATAACGTTAAATATTGTTTGCAGTACACATTCATATAAGACACTTTTAACCGTTTAAAAAGCAAAATATATTATTCAACTTGGAGACATCCTCCATCTTTAGCCTCCCCGTGGCCACGGCTGCAATATAATGCATACGAAACGTCGCATTGTAATAATTGAATGAAATTTGGAAAAAAAATACTAATATTTCTCGTGTTTTAAATCGTTGAATTGTTTTATTTAAGCTATAATGTATTAAAATTAGTATATGTATTTTCTGTTGAGTGTTTATAATAAAATAAAGCTATAATATAATAAATTTATTAATTAAAAAACGTTAAATGTAACGCTCGGACCGTTATATATACCTTAGTAGCCTATGTTTAACTGTTTATTAAGTTCGAATAACAAAGAAATTTCAAATAAAAAATCTTTGGTATCGTCCATAATTTAAAATCGGAAATAAATTGAAATAAAAAAAAAACATATTTTCGATTTTTAAATTATATAGTGCCTTCATGTGTAAAAAATAATAAAGTTTTAAACGTAATCCATTATTAGCTATAATTTAGTTTTATTAGCGTCTTAATAATTTGGGTTGTAAAACAATTATTCGTTTAATTGCTTAATCTAAAAAGTTATAAAAACGCTAGTTGTGTAACAAACAAAATAATTTAGGCAGTTAACAGCATAGACGCTGTAATTAGGGACGTTTTATGATCAACACCGTTTACAGATGTAGTCTACGAATAAACATTGAGTATAGTTATTATATGAAAATAATATATTTTGTATTGGTGTTAAATTAACAAAAAAAAACTATGAGTTTATTTAAAGATATATTATATTTACTTATATATTATGGTACAGTGCTCAAAGATTGTGTTAAAGAAAGACATTTTTTTAAATATAGTCAAATTATAAATAGTAAAATTTTAAATACATTGTAGCGATGTACATTGTTTAAGATTTCTTTTAGGAATAATAAATAACCTAATTAAATAATTGAAATAAAATACTTTTTAACGGTTTAAAAAAAATGGAAATTTCAGCGACTTCAAATAAAAATCGACTATAGATTGAAGAAAATTTACGACTCAGTCTGGATTTAAACCGTCGATTTTATTATAAATTTAATTTAATTTAAATATTTTCTTAATATATAAATTACTATGAGTTCAATTTATATACTGGCATTGTGTACATGTAAAAAATATTAAAGTCTAACGAACGACATCGTACTTGTAAGTTATTCTTAAATGTTCCACATTTTCTACTATACCTTGTCTACTGGTCGCAGCGTATTTAGGTCAAAAGACATCCTCGATAAATGGTCTATCCAACACAAAAATCCTTTTTCCATTAGAAAGTAGTTCGTGAGATTGGTGCATTTAAACAAACAATTTCTTCAGATTTATAATATAAGTAAGTATACGTATAATACAAGTGAATTCAGTCTTGTCTAGTAGTGCGGATCGCTTAATTGAATTGAGAAAGACAACAGACGCCCATACGCATAAAACGGAAGCGATAAATTCCCATGTCATATTAACCGTGCTATTGATTCGCCGGATTAAGCCTTTAATGTGTGAAGATTTATGCTGGGTGGGTTCACGATCGGTTAAGACAATTACACGTCATTGTAAAACGAATCCAGAGGCCTTTGCCCTGTAAGGTGTGTGTCCACCAAAACTATAAACAATTTCTACTAACGTGCTGTAAAGATCAGGGGCTCAAAATATGTTTATTTTAAAAACGTTGTTATCGTCTTTGTATTGGATTGTGTCGAATGTGTTCCAGTAAACGATTTTATAAATGCCAATAAACTATGTATCTGCGCCGGCGCTTAGTCCGGGTAGAATAGTTAGATTGGGCATCATATTTTTTATTTTGCAAACAACTTCCTGTTTAATTTTTTTAATTTTACCTGTTACCCACGACGTCATCCGCCTTTCGTCGTTCTTGCAAGTTAATCTTTAAACATAGCGAACATTTATTAAGAGTATTTATAAAAGGATAGTCTTTTCATAAATATTATTTCATTTAAATACTGTCTATAGTTTACGCGAGTAGTGCACATTTAAATAAAACACGTTAACGGTTTAAAACGCGATATATTAGTTAAACTTATTTGGAAATGATTTTTAACTTCGGCCCAACGTTTCGGATGCTTTGCGGTCTCCCCGGGTCACGTCGGGTCGAAGTTATCATTTCCAAATAAGTTTAACTAATATATCGCGTTTTAAACCGTTAAAGTGTTTTATTTAAATTATTTTATTTGTTAAACCGTTTTAGCAGCAGCGGAAGCCCCCAAAAATGCATAACTATGAACTAAATAAAATCTTTCTTGTTAGATGGTCCAACCAACACAAAAATAAATTTTCACTTCGAACCAGTATTTTCTGAGATTAGCGCGTTTAAACAAACTCAGCTCTATGATATTAGTATAGATTGATTGTTGTTGAGGTAATTACAGTAACTGTTGTCAATTTTGGTGGAGGCCCAACTTTACGCCTGCCTCAATTACTTATTTGAATTGATAGCGGAGCAGTAATAAAAACAACTCGAGGGAGCCCGGTCTCTCGTAGTCCATGAAAATACGCAAATTGATGCCTCCCTAGCTCCTATATTGTTATATTGCCGTCTTTATCGGTTTTCATAGGAGTATGAAGTGCACCGTTTTACGATTACGCCATTCTTCACCTCTTGTTTATGGTAATGTGAAAGCTTGATGGAAAATTTTACGATCTTATTGTGTATTTCGTTTAAGTCAAATTTACATAAACTTTGAATCGCCGATTTGGAACTAATCATCGGACCTGTATTTGTATACTATCTGTATTGAGAAAATTCGTATTTAGACTAATGTATGGTCAAGAAAGTAAATGTGTATATGTCATTTAAGTTGCGTTACTAACGCGTTACATATTCTATAGTCTTTATATCAGGATGGAATAAGAACACACACAAGAAGTGCTTTCTTTAGGCAAATTCACGGAGAAACGGTTTAATTTAAACAATTTTACTGGTTAAAACGTGCAATATATTAGTTAACTTATTTTTTAACAAATTGAATACATATCGTGTTTTAAACCGTTAAAAGTGTACTCGCTTTAAATACAGACGATACTTATCAATAAAAGTATTCAGTTGGACAGAGTTTAACAAATTTGAGTTGATATAAATGATAAAAGTTGTTATGCATATATAAATTCAAACTGACACAAAAATCTGTCTGTTACATAATCGTTAAGGTTACAAAATTTTATTAGTTTGTATTGGATGCCCATTTTCATGACCCAGAGGAATTTCTATTTCTAAAGCTTCTGAAACATTTGTCGTTAACCAGCAAGGTTATGATAATGCAATAATAATACAAATAATTTCGCGGAACTAGGCGATAGTGGCATTAAAATATCCGAGTGATTTAGTTCGCGCTGTTTATTCAGCGGCCACCGGTTCTGAGAACCACTGTTTTTGTTCACGTGTTCTCATGCATATAGTGTTCTCTGAAATAACTCAGTGCAATTTTATGAAACTAATTATAATATTCCTACTTCTCTATTATAGAACGACTGCAGAAATAACTGTTCATATGTATGTTGTCACTACTTTTAAAATCACATACATATTTTCTGACCTTAGTTTTTGATTTTAATTGCGTAGATATTTTAAATAAACTCTATTTTTTATGTTTACGCGATTCAAATAGTATACAATATAATTTTTTAACAGGTTGTCATATGCCATGCCAAAAAAAACAAAATGTTATGCAAAATAATGTTTTAATATAATCTTTTAAACGAGCCATGCTACAAAAAAAAATTAATACACACAGACAATTTCTTGCGTTGCGTTGTAATATAATTCAAAACTAACACACTGCAATTAGCGCATTTTTATAAACGATATATATTTCGCCATTACTAAATTAATAATTGTAGTACATTGTATGTATTTTCTCCGATGACTTATTTTTCAATAACTTTAAATAAGTAATTGTATTAATAGATGATTTCTTATCTTCTTTCCTATTTATATCTTATCTTTATAATTAAGAGTTGTAGTAATAATTGTATCTTTTAAATAGCCAATACATATGTAAATTGCTATTAACACAATAAACAAAGCTCTTGATCCACCTCCCTTCCGCAGAAGACCGCATACCGCTCGCCACAGTCATGCAAGACCACGGCCGTTTGGACGGCGTCCAAAGAGTGCTATTCGGGTCTGGCCTGCAGTTCTGGCTGCATCGGCTGCTGTTCCTCGATGCGTTGAGCTACCTGAGCCATGGGCAGCTCAGCTTGAGCCTTGACAGGTGGATACTGGTGGACATTGACGACATATTCGTGGGGGAAAGAGGTGAGTTATTTTAAGTGTATAAATCTGAAAGTTGTTATACTGTTACGTCCATGCCCCTTCGTGCAATCGGATAAAATTTCTTCTTAATATAGCTGAGACTCTGGGCTTTCATGTTTAAACTTTTTATTTTAAAATTAGTACCTTTAATTTTCTTATTTAACGTATCAACGCCAAATACGTAAATCTATTTCATCATCACCATTATGGTAGTCATAATGCTGATGATGAAATGGCTTCGTGTGGACGAATTTTTGTGAATGTTATTCGTTAATACACGTATGAACACGTATTTTTCAATAAATAAATACATCTACCAATAAATAATACAACCTACTCATTGCTTTTACAGGCTAAATACTCACTCTGTTTAAGTAGTTCACACGCTAGCGGATATGCAAATCCGATTAAAGTATTAAAATCTAGTTGTATCGGGGTGTTTATTTAAAAATTAAATGACAGCTTAAACGGTTTATGCCGGCCTCAGTCATGGAACGTATGTTTATGTAAAGGCTTTCACGCCTGACTGATATTACAGCCCTTGAAAAGTATTACAGACGTTTCGCCGTTTCAAATGTACAAACATTCGTACATTTGTGTACATTAACATTTCTAATAAAACACTTTATCGGTTTAAAACGCGATATATCTTAGTTACTCAGTCACGAGTAGACTCCCTGTGACCAAGGTTGCTGCAGGGCATCCGAAACGTCGGGCCGAAGTTAAAATAAGTTCAACTAATATATATCGCGTTTTAAACCGTTAGTGTTTTATTTAAATGTGTACTACTCGCGTAAACTACAAACAGTATTTACATTAACCTTTAACGTCAACATATATAGGCTTTGTATATTTGGAAATCCACAATCGGAATCCGTAACACGATTACCGTCATGGGCTTTTCATCTGTGGATTTGTGACCCGAATGGAATTATATCAATATTCCTTCACCATCACCATAGTAACCAATCTATTCATGATACACATTTTATTAGTCTGTTCCCGGATATAACTGAACTTGATGAACTCGAGCTAGTGATAATTCTAAGTAATCAATTAAAAAAAAAAATTAAGATAAGGCGTATATTTCCTGATATGAGGAAAAAATTACAACTCACATGTACTTTACTTGTTGATGTATGTGATTCGTCTATGCAAAAACTACTTAACTAATTTTTATGAGACCGAACAATAAAAAAGGTAGTACCTATACATTTTACTGTTACTAATACATTTCGCGTTTTAAACCGTTAAAAGTGTTTAGTTACGTCGATTATTCATCACGCTGACATATTGCATTTTTTCATGTCTTTTTAAATAAATAAACAAAGTTAATTAGCACACATACCGCATATATTGTGTTGCCATTTATAATTACTTCTCTAGCACACGCAATAAAATCCCCTTACCTAATTAAAAAGTTAAAAAGGATGCCGATTTTGTCCTTCCAAAGTAGAATTATAATTTTCCCTGCGTTTGCTGATCTGCTCCAACCGCACTTAGAAGGGTTTAAAAATGCTCCTAATTTAATCATTATGCTAATTGTACGGATAAGCGTGGAAGCTTTGATTTACGCATCAAAGGGGATCTACACGAATCCGTTTGTCGTGGAAGCTAGATAATCCGCTGTGATGTCTTTGTTCAATAGAAACGCAACACAACTAACAAAAGTTATATTATGATTGTAGTATGCGTTCTAGAGAGGTCTTATTGCTCACTAATTGAAAGTGCTGTGAAATTCCACTCGCATATATTAAAATCTCTTGTTTATTTTTTTATGTTTAACGGGGATTTTAATTAAAAATTCGCCGTTAAAAGGGTTCAGTGATTTTAATACGGTGGATAAATGATTTGTTTTAACGCGGACCTGACCTGGATACTTTCCGATGGGTAATGGAAGATACAAATTCCTTTGTTCTTTCATATGTGCTCGTAAACAGTTGTGAAATAGACAAACCGAGCTCTTGTAGAAGAACAGGTAGAACATCAAAGGGATAATTACTAGTTGCTTTTGTGTTTGGCACAATTAATGTTTGTAAATTAACGCGTAGTAAAGACCACGTTTGAATGAAGATTTTTTTATATTTCTTACTAGCTGGTGCCCGTGACTTCGTCTACGCAGGATTAGTATTTGGAGTAGCTCATGTTAGCGTGACGTAGAAAAGAACTAACATTATGACATAAATATGGGTAACTAACATTTATGGCAGCGCACGCCAGAATAGCTCGCAGAAAGGTAGGTTTTTTCCTAGTTAGACACTTAATGCCATATTTTGAACAGCTCACACAATATCTTTATAAATTATAGCCTATGTGTTATTCTGATGTATAAGCTATATTATGGGATTGTATTGAGTTTAATTTAAATCCATTCAGTAGTTTTTGCGTGAAAGAGTAACAAACATCCATCCACACATACAAACTTTCACGTTTATAATATTAGTAGGATAGTATAAGTTTCAAAAGTAACTTTTGGCATACACACAATTCATAAAAAAGAAAAAGAGAGTAGTTAAATTGATGATTTCAATTTCTTGAAACTTAAATACCTAATCATTTTAAAAATATAACTATTTAAATTTAAATAAAACCCTTTAACGGTTTAGAACGCGATATATTTTAGTTAAACTTTTTTTAAGAATTATTTTTAACAACGACCCGACGTTTCGGATGCTTTGCAGCCGCCGTGGTCTCTCAGCAGGGAGGTCTCCCCGTGACCGTTAGAGATTTAAATGTGTACTACTCGCGTAAACTACACACAGTATTTAACTGTTCAAGTATCAAAATAATAAATCATCAATTTATCGTTAATAAATCACAGACATCAGCTTGTTATAAAATGTAATATATACGAACTGTAATATTTCCTTTCTCCCGTTCGCCTTCCTTATTTATTCAGTATCTGTCGGTATCGTTAAATATCGACCCGCCATTTTCCCAATGGCCACTCGCTATTATTTCGCCAAGGGACAACGATGCTATCTTCTAAACAATCGGGGATATTAAGCAGAATGGTACCAGTTACTCTCGTTAGACCGTAGTCTCATAAAAACTCTTTAACTAGCATTGCATCGCGTTGTACTACCTCAAGAATCTAACTGTTTGATTGACTTTTATTTCTCTTCTGTTATACATTCACTAAAGTGGTTTAAAATAACTAGAGACGCAATGTTATGCGTCGTACATCGCCTACGAAATTCACACGCCAACCTCAGTGTGCAAAAGAGACAACAAGTGTCTACAAGTAAGCGGTTCGACACTTGACACCGTACGCTAGCACCGGCGTTAGGAGACCACAGCCTTATTTACCACTTCTGTTTTTGTGAGTTCTTACATTACGAGTGTCACTCACTTTTTAGAAAGAGAATTTAATGGAGCAACATTTACCTACTCTCTTTCACTCACTTCCGCTTAATGGTGTCCATTAAATGAAATTACGAAGGATGCCGTTCTGAAATGAAAAATATTCTTTTTGTAGTTACATAATATAAAATAAGGTAGTCGCCATATTTTTTACTTCTTTCGTCTCCTATCTCGTTACTAAGTGATAAAATTACATACATAATATATAGTGTTGATTTTCACTTCAATAAAATTCCTGCTTAAAATAAACAGTCCTTGTTTCTATCGAAGATGTTTATTTATTTCTGTATAAGCCTGGAATGTATTTTCTTATGATACAAGTGTGACCTAGGTATCATTATCGTGACTTGTATTGTAAAGTACAAGACAGTGAGGGACTAGACGCAAGCTAAATATAAAGACAAATTACTCGAGTTTCTCAGTGAGACATTTTTGTAATCGTTTGAGAAATAAATACAGTTAATTTTAAAGTATCATTACTATATTATGTATCTCAAAGAACCAACCCAGTGTGCCTGTGTACCTACTATACTAACTGACCTGGCCTGAATACTATGAAAACGGTTCTTGTGAGTTTTTCTTAGAAGATAGAGATATACTGTCTTATACAGTTTTTTTTGGTTTATTAATAGAAAATCTTTCTGTGTTCTCGCGAACCGTTTTCACAACCCAAACAACAGGAGTCAAAGATGTATAATTTTCGTTTTCCACATATACCACTGTTTATTCGCTCCGATTGGTTGCAACCTGATGTTTTGGCCTGATGCCGTGATAAATGGTCCAAACAATACAACATTTTAATTCGAACTAGTAGTTCCTTAGATTAACGTGTACAAACAAGCTTCAGTTTTAAAATATTAATATAGATTATGTAGAGTAACTAACTATACAGGATCTCACAAAGCGATAGTATTACTCGACAAATATGAGCGTCGCTGTTGACCTCTAAACTCTCGCCTATAACCCGTCGCGACCCCAATGCCCAGTTTGAATAGGATCGGCCGGGCTCGACCCTCAGCAAATAACATTAAAAGGCAACGCGTATTGACCTACACGTGCATTCTTTCCGAGAGGTAGCCTGACTATTATCAGTTAGGCTGTGGTCTCCTATAATTGCCCTTGCTTGAGATATAAATTTCCTTTTTCTGTCTCTTTCGCACTATGACGTTAACTTGCGATTATTGGCACGCTTTGTGCCGCCTCTCTATTCATCACTTTATTTTTGAACTATAAATTTATATATAAAAGTAATTTGACATAGTCTACTTACTCCGCTTGAAATTTCAAGAATTATGTAATTATAATAACAATTAATGTATTTATTTAATCTTCTTCTAGTATTATAGTCAGTCAGTCAAAAATCATTTATTCATGTAGGTAACTAGATACACATATGAACGTCACACCAGTTAAAAACCAAAGACACTAAATTTACATTCACTGCCTGTTCTCAAATCAAGGGTGTAGATCGAACGCAAATAATAACCTTAGAATCTCATTTTACATTAGGGTACAATGGCAATCTATGGAAAAGAGATCCACTACGTTGTGTAAGCCTGGTACTTGTGATAAGTCAATAATAATAAGCCTTTTTATATCTTGTTATACATTAGTTGTTGGTAATATACATTAAACAAATTTTGTAAGTAAGCTTAGAATATGTTATTAATTTAAATATATATATGTTATTTAAGTAATTTTCAAAATTCTTAAATACTGTCTGTAGTTTACGCGAGTACATATATAATGAACAACAATGAATGAAGTATGAGTACATATATAAAGAACAAAAAACGAATGAACAGTTTAACGGTATAAAACACAAATTATATTACTTTGATGTCAGAGACACCCTCCATCTTTAGTCTCATCGTCACCATGCTGCTGCAAAGCATCCTAAACGTCGGGCCGTAGTTAAAATATTTTCAAATAAGTTAAACTAATATATATATCGCGTTTTAAACCGTTAAAGTGTTTTATTTAAATTCAAGAGTTTTACTAATCAAGGAGAAACCCCTATGACAGTTTATTAGGTTTCAATAAATCTGTGTTACAAGTCAATGGGATGCATAGCTTTAAAGTATCGCGTCGTAACATCGTTAATAGGAGACCGCAGCCTAAAAGCCAACGCGGATTGACCTACCCACACGTGCATTCTTTCCGAAAGGTAGCCTTACTATTTTCAATAACAGCGGGCGGACGTGTGAAACTGTGTTTGCTCACGGTTCTATCGCTTTGGAGTACGTGACCCGTGCAGTTATACTGCATATTAACGAACGTCTACCGTTATAGTCCTTTGTGCTTTTATATCTCGGGCCGTTCCCGCTTCGCCCAGATTTCCTCGAAGGTTTTGTTGACACGAAAATAATATAAACAACAAGTGCTTAAAATAAAACATCAACATTTCTCTTTTTTATTTTTGTTTCCCGCTCACTGAGTTTTTGTGGATATTTATTATCATATTATGAAGAAACTTCTTTGATATACAAATTTCAATAAGAACTTTGTGTAACAAATGGCAACTACTCAATGTGATGAAGAAAGAAGACAAAAAATCATATTGTTAGTATTTATTGACAACATCTGATGATGATGCCATACGTGAACCATTGAGATTTTAAATACTGTCACTAGTGTACGCGTGTAGTACATTAAATAAAACACTTTAACGGTTTTAAAACGCGATATATATTAATGAAACTTATGTGAAAATTATTTTAACTTCAGCCCGACGTTTCGGATGAGTCTCCCGTGCCCACGTTATATATATCGTGTTTTAAGCCGTTAAAGTGTTTTATTTAATGAGAATTTGGTTAATTACGGCAGCCAAATCGCCAGTAGTACAAAATAACAAGCAAATTGCCCTATGAAATTTATAAGCGTCTAACACCTCATATCTCAGCTAAATCTACTTCCCATAGACCGAGTTAAATAAAAGATAACACAGAACAGTAACTCACGTTATATTTACTTTCGACCCTAGAATTTATTTAAGATTACACGCAAATTTACGTTTATTAGCAAAGCGATTAAAATCTATCCTTCGCGCCGACGTCCAACAAATTACTTGCATAGATAATCCTAATATTAGACCTGGCGTCGGCGTTAAAATACCTATTCTAATTAAACATCGTTGCTTTAATTAAACTACTGGTCGGCATGAATAACGAGTTTTATACAAGCACTAGCTGTGCCAGCGACTTCGTCCGCGTAGAATACTTATTTTGGGCATCCAAGTTTGTTTTTGCAACCTTCTCCTCATCTTTATAAATTTTAGCCGTTACCCACAACGTCTCGCTTTCTCCACATTTTGTCTCATTGCTCCTATGTGTTGATGTTTTATAGCCCATAGCTTTCGCCTCGATAGATGCTCTAACAAACATTTTTCAATTCGAACCAATAATTTCTGAGATTAGCGCGTTCAAACAAACAAACTCTTCAGCCTTATATATTAGTATAGAAGTATTAAGTATTATTATTATTAAGTATTAAGCTATATTTAATGCTAAGCATATAGCTTGGCTATCATATTCCTTGAATAATATATACCTCAACTAAACTTAACTCATTTATGTTTGTCTGAATGTGTTACAGCCTGATAATTGTCATGTTAAATATTCTACGTTAAACAGTTCTATGAAGTATTTGGAATGGACTTTTTATCATAATTTTGCTAATTTTAAGAAAAAGTGCGGGGAAGCGATTTTAGAGTTAATACAGAAATTAATTACAAGTCCTCTACAATTTGAATCTTTAATACCGTTAAACTAACATTTAACATTTAACTGCAAATAATAGATTTGAAATGTTTGGAACGCTGTGGATGCCGGTTCAAGCCCGAGTCGTATTTTTTTTTAAATTTTAAGAATATTTTTTAATTAACCGTTTTTTTTTAATTCAGAATAGATTATATGAATACGCACCGAAAATAAGAATCTCTCCTTCGTAACATACATTATATTTGAATTAAGCGAGCTGCCTATTTTTGGAGAATGTTAAATAACCATGAATGATTTAACAGGGACAAGATTGCACGAAGAAGATGTCTCAGCGCTAATGGCTTCTCAGGTGGCACTGCAGCGGCTGGTGCCAGGCTTCAGGTTCAACCTGGGTTTCAGTGCGAAGTACTACCACCACGGGACTGTTCTGGAAAATCGCGGAGACGACGCCCTTTTGAAGAATAGAGAGTACTTTAACTGGTACGATTATATAATGTCTGTAGTTTACGCGAATATTACACATTTTAATAAAATTCTATAACGGCTTAAAACGCGATATATATTAAACTAATTTTTAGTTTTGAAATAAGTTAAACTTATTTCAAAATCATCTAACCCACGTTTCGACGCTTCGTTGGTATTTGAATAGCACCTAGGACGAATGGACGTTAGCGTAGCAGTTTTTTACTTAAAGTACATACGAAACGTCGGGCCGTAGTTTAAATAATATTCAAATAAGTTTAACTAATATTTATTACAATCTATATCGCGTTTTAATCCCTTAAAGTGTTTTCGTTAATATTTAAATTATGTCTTCGTTAAATTTATATTTTTCACAAAACACAGTACCACTATTTACTACCTAACATCAAAAAAACCAGAATGGGTTAATAATAAATCTATCAATATTTAAATTGTATTTTATTGTTTGCATAAAGCAGAAGAGTTTGTATGTTTGAACGCGCTAATCTCAGAAATTAGTGGTTCGAATTAAACATTATTTTTGGGTTGGTTACAGCATTTAAAGAGGAAGGCTAGTTAATAAATAAAACGATCAAAGCACTAAGTAGTTAACACCCGAACCAAACTTAGTGTAATAGTTTACGCTTTCGTAAAAATACCTAGGTCTCAAAGCACGCTTAACTATTGTAGAATTTAAATAAAACACTTTAACGGTTTAAAACGCGATTTATTGTAGAATTGCCTAAGATTGAAACAACCTATACTAATTATTATCAAAAATATATTTTTAAATGGATTATATAGCTCTTTAACATGGTATGGGTGATATGTTATATATCTCTTGAGTAAAATTATTTTTGGGTTATCTTAAAATAACCACTCAGTTGTTCTTGGCATTTCACTACTGTTTCGTAAAGATTTTCAACAGTGCGCTCATTTTAGAGACTAAAAAAAAAGTGAAATACCGTTTCCCTCATGGGGCATAGGGCGAACAAATTTCTGTGTCCGTTTGACTGATCTGTATTACTTACAGGCAAGTAGATGATCAAGCTTCTCTGCCCTGCCTGATCGAGACAATTTACTGTTTCCCCGGGATTCGAAAATAAGACCTCTCGTGCTTAACGCAATGCAACACGTTTAACCATTTAGCTACAGTGTCGGTCATTATGTTAAAAATATTTGAGTGAATGAAAAATCGATTACAGTTATACAATTTTTATTTCAATCCTATTTAACACATTGTAAATTTTTCCTCAGGTTTTGCCACATGTGGAACCACCAGCAGCCGCATCTATACAGCAACGTGTCGCAATTGGAGGCAGAGATGATGCTGAACAAACAATTCGCTATGGAGCATGGCATTCCCACCAATTCGTGTTACTCAGTGTCGCCCCACCATTCCGGGGTGTATCCAGTCCACGAGCCGCTGTACGAAGCGTGGAGGAAGGTCTGGGATGTAAAAGTAACGAGTACTGAGGAATACCCCCATTTGAGACCAGCCAGGTAAGGACAAAAGGTTTTGGAAAAGATAGACCCGTTGGTCTAATAATCATATAATCAACGGGTCTTGGGTCCAACATTTTTCTAATATTAAATGGTATTAGTCTGTGTATTTCCGAATATCCAAAGATAGGGGTATTTTACCTACCATCAAGTGAACGTTTTAATTTGACTTTTATTCACTAATATTATACATGCAAAGTTTGGGGATGTGTGTATGTTCGTTACCATTTCTAAAACTGGTGTGCGTTTGGGTGGCTCGACTGCAGATCACAGCATCCCGGGATTCGAATCCCGATTGGGAGTTTTTTACTATTTTTATGTTATTTGGACGTTGACAGTGTAATATGAAGTATGTAAAGTTCAAAGAATACTTAGTACATAGACAACAGCGAAAATGCGAGCAAAGTTTTGAAGTAAAATCCTTTACACGCAGAGATTGCAAAACGTCTGCAGGGGTTGTGAAAATGTTGAAAAACAACAAGAAACGTGACGTTCACAGCGGACGATCTCATCGTTTCCTTACTTTTAAGTTTAAAAAAACTCGAACAACACACAGACCGCCCATTATCTCCCGAAATAAACCCTTCCACTTTTGTTTTTCGTGCTTCCGAAACGGACATACAGGGAAAAGCTTTCTGTCGTCTACCTTTCTGAATCGCTAAGTGTCCTCGCGTTTTTGAATGCGAAAATGTTTTGAGGTATCTGCGCTGGGGTGCGATTCTCGACTCGGTGACTTTAAGTCATAAAGTCAGATATTCAAAAAAAGTCGTTAAATTGTCATTTTGTTGAGAATGGGATTTCGTTTTACAATTGTGAAAAAATATTATATTATGTTCGCTTAAATACATAAGGCTAACCGATAGACCGTCTCTGCAGCTTTATAGTTAAACGTGTTCCTTAGCATTGCGTTTTAAACGCCAGAGGTCCTAGCTTCAAATTCCGCACGGAAAACAAAAAAATATTTCTGTGGGCAGGGTACAGAAGTTTAATCAACTACATGCCTATATATAAAACCAACCAAAAGTTTTGGCGAAATTTTTTTTCCCCTCTCCCCCCCGGGGGGAAGGGGGGGATTTTTTTCTAAAATTTCAAAAATAATTCTTTTGTTAAAAAGTTGAAATAATATAAAAAAAATTTTTTTTTTTTTTTTTTTTTCACCTCTTTTTAAAAAAAAAAAAAAATTTTATTAAAATTTTTTTTTTTTTTCCCCCCCCCCCCCCCTCTTATAACGCTGTTTTAAACCGTGAACGTGTTTTATTTAAAAATGATAAATATCGCGTTAAACCGTAATTTTTCCCCTGACTTACTTTTCACTTAGTTGGAAATAACTCCCTACCTCGCTTTTGCTCTAACGTTTGAATTATTTAAATATCGCTTACAGAGAGGACCTGCACTAAATTATTCACTTCTCGCGAATATCAGTGGACGACAATACACGTCTAGGGCCTGGGGAAATCTAGAAAGTAGTGGGCGCACGTTTCGTCTGTATTGGCTTTGTCTCAGCTGAAATATTATCTCCTAAAATATTGACGTCTTTGAAATTGCCTCACTTGGTATCGGATCTTTGAAATTTTACTAGGTATACGGGGTTTTACAAAACAAAATCTTTTAATAATGATGACAAATCCTTTATTGACACTAACACAGTCTGAATATAATTGCACCCGGAAGCCTTTATATAAAAGAAACAACATCTAAACACGGAAGAGTTTTTTAATGAGTTCCAGTATAATATGTACGTTTGAGCAATAAATAATTAAATAAGTAAATAGAACAAACCTGTAAGGTAATTACTGCAATATGGTTTGTCGTGGTTTGAATATCAGTTAAATTTCAGCGCAATAAATAAATGTAATGGTATATAACATAAATGATTTAAATAATATATTGAAACATACTTAAAATAAAATTTAAATACATCAGGCATTGATGTTATTTCTTAGATTTCTAGGTATTCTATTTTAGTCTATAGAACATCGCTAGTCTAAGCCAAACATTTGCGAATATTGCACTATTCTTATTTCCATTCAACGACTCAGAAGATTCCTTGAAACCCCCGAGCTAAGATTACGTACCTTTTAAAAGGGCTTGGTATAAACGAAATACCGATACGTTCCCGCTTAGAGCGCTCTCCGTACCATTCTGCTAATGTTATATATTGTACCGTACTATTTGGATTTAGTGCGGCTCTCTGCCGCTGATAGTCCGAAGCTTGCAATGTTACGGGGAAATGTTAGCGACGCCGCTATTGTGGTTGCCAAACTCCAACTCGCCACAAACGCTGCGTTGTGGTGATTCGACGCTTTGCTACATCTGACCCGATTATGTGTACAACACAAATAAAATCCGTAACACGCGTAAAATCTATATTATCTGTATTTTAAGCGAACACAATCCTCACGTAACACGACTATTGGTAAATCATCCGAAATATCATAGGTTCGTATCCGTGAAGTCGTTGTTACTACACACTACTTTACTAGTTAGTACACTAAAATAATTCGTGTTTTAAGCTGTTTCAAGTGTTTTTTTGTCAACTGAAACGTACTAAGCTTAAACTCAATCAACAAGATATAAATTATGACAAACAATTATACATTCGGATATATAGATTTGGAAATGGAGTAAGTACTCGGTTTGTGTACTACAACTAAAAGTCCCCGGGTGGGCACTGAAAACTAGCGAATTTTCAGTGCCCACCCGGGGACTAAGTACTATGGCCACTAATTTTTTTTTTTTTTTTTTTTGGTGTTTTGGGGTTTTTTTTTTTTTTTGGTTTTTTTGCCTTTTTTTTGTGGTTGTGTTTTTTTTTTTTTTTTTTTTTTTTTTTTTTTTTTTTTTTTTTTTTTTTTTTTCCCCTTAGGGGGTAACTTGATTTACACTTATAATATATTCCAGTAATCCAAATATAAAATACTCAGCAATTACAAAGATTAATCTGAATTCAAAATTATGTCCATGCGCGCGCATAATTCACACAGATAAGATCGCCGCCTGATGATGTATATGTGACGTTCACGTGACAGCTGTCAACTGACATTGACATAACGTGGCTCCACGCTGATAGGCTTATGACATTATGCAAATGTGTTAGATTTTATACAAGTTACGTCATAAAAAAATTAATATTTTTCACATTTATTGCACATGAAGGCCTCGGTAGCTCAATTGGTAGAGCAACAGCACGGAAAGCTGACGATGCCGGTTCAAGTCCTGCCCGAGTCGAAAATTTTTTCAATTTATTTTCGATTTTTAAGTTACGTCATAATTAATCTTTGACAATCACTCAAACTTATGGCTTATATTTGATAGTACAGCACAGTGAAGACGCAGCGCAAAATAAATATTTTCTTGTACCAACTGTAGTTTACGGAAATAGTACTCATTTAACTGAATACTGTCTACAATTTACGCGAGGAGTACACATTTAAATAAAACACCTTAACGGTTTAAAACGCAATATATTATAACTTATTTGAAAATGTCTCCCCGTGCCCACGGCTGCTGCAAAGCATCCGAAACGTCGGGCCGAAGTTAAAAATCATTTTCAAATAAGTTTAACTAATATATGGCGATTTAAACCGTTAAGGTGTTTTATTTAAATCTCATTTAACTGATTAAAGCCCGAATTGTTTAAGGTAAACTTCTTTACAAATAATCCCCCCTGTTAAGTTACCAATTAAATTAAATTCCTAAAAAAACATTAAGTACTGCCTATAGTTTACGCAAGCATTACACATTTAACTGCATAAAACGCGAAATTTTGTTGTCGAAATGGGATCTGAGATTACGGCTGCTACAAAGCATTCGAAACGTCTGGGCATAGTTAAAATAATTGGTAATAAAAAGTTTTACTAATACATTTCGCGTTTGAAACCGTTGAAAGAGGTCTATTTAAATTAGTTGTTTAACATTCGTTGTTTACCGAATAACTGGAGATATAATCACCGGGAATCGAAACCCCGATCTCCCGTATAAATCAGGTCAGGCTAAACGGTTTTACTTGTTAGTACAGCCTCTGCGCGCCAATAAATTGTGGTTTGGAAATTCGTCCAAAACAAAAATAATTGGCTTTACACCACGCGACAATATATTTAATGCGGTTTGGATGATATTTCCGTTTTCGATATGGGTCCACCTTTATTTGCGGCTCTCGAGTAATTTTGTTTCAACTTTTCCTGCGTGACATGTGACTTTAACTGTAACGCGTGTTAGTAACCGAATATTTGCTAAACTGTGCGCATACGCACATCTGTGTCCGAGTTATTGTCACATAAGCTGAACAATAAGCTTTTGATTTGTGCGACATGTTTTAAAATTTCTCATATTCAGTAGATATCACTTATATAAAACCTTAGTAACAGAAATAATAATAACAGTTTAAAACGCGAAATTATAACTTTGTTTTACCTACTGCTGGATGTTTTGGATGCTTGTTTCGTTGTTGAATGAACTACCACTGAACAAATTTCTACACACATAAACTACAGACAGTAGTTAATTAAGGTTTTTTTCGTAATTTATTACTTGGGTTCGAATCCTGGGGAAACATCAGTTTCACTCGGGCTGGCTAACAAAAGTGTTCAACTAAACCTGTTTCAACTATTTGCTAGTACCTAAAATCGAATGAGTATGTCTCCGAAGGGCATCTCATAAGCAAATTTATTACATTTTTTTAAATCTCCTTAGTCTATACTCGAAATGCTTACGTAATCTTCCACACTATTCTAGCTTTAGCTCGTCCCCTATGACATAGTATTCAGTAATGTCGTGTGTTGGCCACAGGTTACGACGTGGCTTCAAGCATCGTGGTGTCATGGTCTTGCCTCGGCAGACTTGCGGCTTGTTCACTCACACGCTTCTACTCGAGAGGTACCCGGGTGGACGACAGCGGCTGGACAAGTCTATACAGGGCGGAGAGCTATTTCAGACAGTCATTAATAACCCTGTAAGTTTATCTTCATTTTTACTTTAAAATATTGTATGTTTTATTTTTTTATATCTAGATTACGTCTGTAATAATCTAAGTAATGTCTGTAAACTAATTAATAATATAAATAATGTGCTTTTATTTGATTTAGAGTACATCTAGATGTCGTACGCTTATTTAAAACGCTCTAATAAGAATAAATATGTAGTGCATTAAAAGTACACGCAGAATCTAAAATGAAACTTGGCGTTAAAAGGAGTGACGGCGAGTTAATTGCCAGTTCTTCTCGTTCGTTCTACGCCCTTAATTTGAGAACTGGTAGTAAATTTAAAGTAGGATTCTTTAGTTTTGTGGCGTTCATAAATGTACCTGACGTTGACTTTTTTCGAATTATGAATGAGCTAATTAAATCTAATACAATATAGGAAACGTTTTGTTTATTTTTGAAACAGGACAAAACTGAATTGTAGGATTTTAACCTTTTTGAAGCAAAAAAATTAAGTCAAATATTATCAATTGATTGGTTATATTTTTTTTCTTCTTGAATATTTTGTGACGGACAGATTTAAAATGTCACTCTCTACAACAAAAAAAACGATGACAGTTTATAAATGGCTGTTCCTAAAGCAGTATTAGAAAATAATTCAATTATACAATTCCAATATTGGCAGGTATTCCTAAAGTAGATCGACTTGGCAGGTCCGCGTAAATTGAAACGTAATTAGTGTCTAATTTGTAAGCGAAGTTAGGGCTAGTTCAACACCCATTTCCACAGACTAAAGTGTGGGAAATTCACTAACTTATATTAAAGCCGTGTTCGCTTAAGAGTTTGCGGAATCCCGGTAGTTCTACAGGATGTAAAGAGATATGGAGCACAAAATTTGTTTGATGTGTTATGATATACTGGATACAACTAGAAACAATTAATCGTTCGTTAATTGTTTCTCGAAAAAAAAATAACGGTTTAAAACGCCACATATATTAGTTAAACTTATTTGAAATTTATTTTAACTATGGCCCGACGTTTCATCCGAAACCGCCGTTTCGGGTGCCTTGCAGCAGCTGTGGTTACGGGAACTAAAGACCAACTTCGACGGTAAAGAAGGCGCTAGCGTAGCAGTTTCTTACTGTGACGTCAGAGACACCCTCCATTTTTAGTCTCCCGTGACCACGGCTGCAGCAGAGCACCCGAAACGTCGGGCCGTAGTTAAAGTAATTTTCAAATAAATTTAACTAATATATAATTAGTTTTAACCGTTAAAGTATTGTATCTAAAAAATTAACAAACGAACTATGAGTTGGGCTTGTTAAAAAAATACTGTCATCGTGTTGAGCCCGCTTTTTACTCCATAATATTTTTCTTATTGTAGCTGTAACGAAAAACTTTGTTACAATGCCTGCCTCTATGTATAACGGTTTTTCATCTTTAATATTTGAAAATGGAACTCTTATAAGTAATAACATATAGGAAGAAAATGTTCTGTAAATAATACCGATTTCAAATATGCATTTGGCAAAGTAGTTGAAATTATACTCCTGTAGTCAAACGATCTACGCAGTAATCTGTAAAATGTTGTATACTCAATTTTAACTGCCGAGTTTTTAATAGGTCATATTTTAGGTGTTTTTTTCTAAACGAATTTCCGAGTGAAATTTTTCAACTCAATTAACCTTTAAGCTCGTACGGCAAATTCATTTTTTTTAATACGCATTCGTACATCCAAATTACGCGAAATAATTTCATAAAACACGTAGAAATATTTAAATTAAATAGTATTTCGTAATGCCCTGAAAACAAATTATTTGAGCGTACCAAATAATTAAGTTAATAATACATTTAAACGGTTAGAATGACTGTTGGTTCGCGTTATCTTAATAAATAGAATCATAGAGTTCTTAATTATACGCAGTTAATTTGTTGTGGATCAGCGTACTGTGTAAGTCATCACAAAAGTTACCAAGTATTAACGACTAGCTGAGTCGGCGACTTCATCCACGTATAATAGTTATTTTGGGCTCCAAAACTGTTTTTGCAAACTGTTACCTAACGCATCGAACGCGTCCCATCGCTCGCGACCCGTCGTTCGGTTCCCGTCGTTCATGCGGGTTCATCTTAAGAGATAGACATACTGTCCCAGTCATTTTATTTTTGATAATTTAAAGAAGAATTATGCTCTCATATATATGTTTTATGTATCTTGAACCAAACTCGCAGCGTACGGTTCGAAAACCTACAAAGATGATTAGTTTTCCCCGTTTTTCCGCTGTTTATTCGCTCTTATTAGTCACAGCGCAATGTTTTATAGCCTTACTTGACAATTGCTCTAACCAACAAAAAAAAGGATTTAAAATGGTAACCAGGTTCCTGAGATTAGCGCCTTCAAACAAACAAACAAACTCTTCAGCTTTATATATTAGTATAGATTACAGGAAAATTTGTACAGCTTTCTCTCCAGCAGTGTATATGAAGGTTTGAACGAGTGACACTCGCGACGTTCTCTTGCACGAGTTAGCGCAATATTTAGTTAAAATACAGCGGTTAATTTGTTGTAAACGCTTCCGTGATAAACGTGTGGTTTGCTCGCACTTAAGCCGTGTCTACATTAGTTCCCCTTATCTCTACATTGTGAAACTGGAGTGTTTACGGACTGGTTCCTATATTTTATGCGTTTACTAAATTCGTGATGCACTAGTTAGTCAACACTTATGTTATGCTGGATTTTATGTATTGTATTTTTCAATTTATTACTTGTGTATTGTTTTTCGTAATAAACTTTAAATTATATTCGAGAAATCATACCAAAAATCCTTAAGCGGTGCATATTAGTCTTAAACATATCACCTTAAATACTGTCTGTAGTTTAGCAAGTAGTATACATTTAAATAGTACACTAACGGTTTAAAACACGATATATTTTAAGAGTAACTTGCAAGAACGACGGAAAGGGACGCGGCCGACGTCGTGGGTAACCGCTTAAGTTTATAAATACGAAGACGTTTGCAATAACTAATTGGACGCCCAAACTAACGATTCTCTCGGACGAAATCGCTGACACAGCTAGTGTTAACATAAATACAGTAGGTTGCAATGAATTATAAACTATAATATATTCACAGTCAAAGCTATTCATTACTTTTTAAATATTCAACGTTATCGCAATACGGTTGAATATTTAACGCGTTGGGCCAGAATAGTTTGTGCTGCGTTACCGTGTTTGTGTACGAATGAGTTACGTTGATAAACTAGGGACAGGCAGGATTCGAAACATACCTTTTAAAGCACTGTTCAGTACGTAATTTTTGTGTCCTGTACACACTAATAAAAATAAAACTTAATGTAATACGTCACATGATATAAAACAGTTTAACTTTAAATCTACGTAAAAAGCAACTAAGTCTACCATCCATTACATACCATAAAACCATCTATTATTCTTATTAGTTTAAAAAAAAACTTTTCTATCGTCAAAAATATTTAGTACTTGTAGTAGAAAATATTATAAGTAGTTTAGTTTTATCATCACAACTTCAAAGCTTACTACAAGTAGAACTAATTGAAACATCCTTAATATGAATAGATTGTATCTGATTTTATAATGTTACAATATACTCAAAAGACGGGAAAAAACACGTTAACTTTTTTAAAATTAGTTTTACGCGTTTTAAACCGTTAAAGTCTTTTATTTAAATATGTACTACTCGCGTAAACTACTGACCGTATTTAAAAACAGGGTTTTCATAATACAACAAATTCAATATAATTGACTTAAATTTCTCTGTAATAGTGAGAACATACAGATACAATCAAGACCGACTAACCTTTGAAAATGATTCGGGTCAGAAAAAAAACAGAGTCACAAACTGCTTACAGTATGAAAAAAGCTCAAAACGCTGAGACTAAAAGATTTCTTAATTACGTATAGGAGTAACCTATATTCGGACCGAAGCCTTTCTTTCGTTTTACACCCGCTCGTGGAATCTCATCTGGATTACTGCAATAGCAGATGGCAAAGTGCAAAAAATCTTTCAGAAATCCGTTTGTCTTATCCCATATATTCGCTGACGCGTGCTCGAGTTAAATTACAAAGATGTATTAAGATCTCTATATAATACTCATAAAATATTGTTTTTTTTTTCGATTTCCCAATAAGGGGTCTGACACAAGTAATAATAAAATAAAAAAAAACTTTTTTTTAGTTTAAATTATAAACCAAACTAAATTAATACCTATACCTAGTTGAGTTATATACACTTATACATTTTAAACACACATATTAAACTAAAATTAACAACTAATGCGATCAACAAATCCTATTCTACAATAAACACACATGTATATCTAACGTGACTTAATATTTAATTTTAATTCCATACATAGGCAAATAACATTAATTAACAAAAATGTTTGCCCACTTTATCTTTTGAAAATCTTTACTTAAAGTTTCAAAGAATAACGTTAACACCACACTAGTTCCTAAATGTAGTCTCGTTTCCTATCGCGGGGCATAGGGCAAGCACATTTCTGTGTCCGTTTCATTGATCGGTTTTATTTACAGGCAAGTAGTTGATCAGACTTCTGTGCCCCGCTCCGACTGAAAGAATTCACTGTTTCCCCGGGATTCGAACCGTGGACCTCTCACGCTTAACGCAATGCTAGGCAACACGTTAAACCATTCAGCTACAGAAACGGTGTTATTAATACTCTACACCGTCTGTAATTAACGCGAGTAGTATTATTATATTATAGTCTCTATTCTCAAAGTAAAAACCGCTACGCTAGCGCCATCTGTTGCGTCGTAGTTGGTATTTAGTCTTCGTGACCACGGCTGTTGCAAAGTGCGAAACGTCGGGCCGTAGTTATAATAAGTTACCAATATATATCGCGTTTTAAACCGTTAGTGTTTTATTGAAATTAGTTTCTATTTCAGTTAATTTCTACCTTATTTTATAGCACAGAACGCTGTAGTAGTGTTCAAATCTTACTCCTGCCATCTAGTTTAAGAAATGAAATACTCTTTTCATTCTCTATATATGTACATACACTACTTCAAAGTGAAGACGTTATACTGACATCATTAGCACAAACGAGGATAATAAGGACGTAATATTCGCTTGTGTCTACGCGTTCAAACAACCGGATGCATTATTTATCTCTCGCGAGTAAATTGGCCGGGAAGTCGACACAGACTCAGAAGTGACCTTGCTGAAAATTTATGGATACGCCACGTCACGGTCATTCGTCTTTTTCGATTGTTTTAACTGATTTTGTTAGATCTTCATCGTCATTTTATTTGGTTTTCGTCTCGAGTCGCGATTTTTATCCGACTAATATCTCTGTAGTAGATAATCTTCAAAGATGTCCGGGACATTTCTTAAGATTACCTATTGTGTTCTACAACTATTATTATATAGTATTATACTACAACTAGTAGACCTGGAAAAAGTTATTTTGTCATATTATAAAGTATTTAAATAAAACACCAACGGTTTAAAACGCAGCCTTGGAGACAGGAAGAAAATCTTTTCAAATAAGTTTAACTAATATATCGCGTTTTAAACCGTTAAAGTGTTTTATTTAAATGTGTACTACTCGCGTAAACTATAGACACTATTTCATCAAATTCTGTTTATCCTCTAGATCAACATCTTCATGACGCACATGTCCAACTACGGCAACGACCGGCTCGCGCTTTACACGTTCGAATCGGTCGTGAAATTCCTCCGCTGCTGGACGAACGTGAGGCTCGCTTCCGCGCCGCCGCTGTCTCTAGCTGAGAAGTACTTCCAATTGAGGCCCGATGAGCTGAGCCCGTTGTGGGGGGTAAGTACAAATAGAACAGTTTAATATTATATGATTATCACCATCCATCGAATGAACCATAGGATAGATACTGATAGCCAGACACACAAAGGAGTATCTAACTCAATGTTTCAAAACATACGATATCAATTAAATAAAACACTTTAACGGTTTAAAACGCGATATATTAGTTAAACTTATTTGAAAATGATTTTTTTTTTACTTTGACGTCAGAGACATCCTTCATCTTTAGTCTCCCCGTGACCACGCGTTTTAGAACGTTAAAGTGTTTTATTTAAATGTGTACTACTCGCGTAAACTATAGACAGTATCTAATACGATATCAAGACAATCACGTAACATACATTTTCTAATGGTGATTATAATTATATGCGTATAACCTAGATATTTATCCAAGCTGAAGGAAATCTCCAACATTAATAGCAGTCCGTATATAATATTAATATTTGCAATTGTGCATACAGAGAGGAGAACTGTCAAAGAGATAGCAACGTTTGTTCCGGTTTTGGCTCCCCGCATAAATAGCTCGATACAGACAGCGCCGCTGGAAATTCGAGATCTAACGAGACCGTTTGATTTGCTCTTTGACTCAAAGCCTTTTAATAGCTGGCTAAAACCTCTTAACATTAACATAGACCCCAATTTTTACTATGGATATCATCAAGCACATGAAGTCATTACATTTACGAATACTAGCTATTACGGGCGTCTAAATTTGTTTTTGCATCGGAAACCCACTAAGATTATAGTAATACTATAGTTAAGTTGCTTTAACTAACGCAAAAATATTTTTTAAGTTCGAACCAAACACATAACAAGAGCAATAAGTATTAAGTATTTATTTTTGCGGCTATTAAAAACCGTAACCTATATTTCGTACAAAAGCTGTCGTTCCTTTAAAATCATAATATTTTTTTATTATATAAACGTCAACACAAAACGTCTTCTGATTGCGGATAAAAGAAATACTGGCGTTTACCACCTCCGTTCCGTAAGTCAAGTTGAGACAACTCGCCCTATGATTTCGACGAATATGTCCCCGAATTTTATTCGAAAGCGATAAATCAGCGATGAGGCATTCCTTCCGATTCCGCTGAACAATCAATTATTCCGCCGATGCTTTTGAGCTTAAACAAAAATGTATACGCAGCTTATTACCATGATATTGTTTTAAACCGTTGCGGTCACGGCTTTGGCTCGTTCGGGAATTTCACGCGAAATATTAATAAATTCTCTATTTTGCGCTTTGGCGTTATAATACCTACATTGCTATATTAAAACTTATCTTTGTAGTTCAGTATCTTCTGTCTAAAGAAATAAATAATAACCTCCTTGGTTAGAGCAACTAGCCGGATCGCTGTGGATGTGGGTTCAAGTCCTGCCAAGTCACGTCCTGACACAGGCGGGTTTTGAAGGGTGTTCCGTACTCCACCTCTTCACAGTAGCTCAATTGTTGCGCATAGCACAGAAAGCTGCAGTAGTGTATAAGTCCCACCCTTGCCAATTATAACTATAAAAAGATATGAAAATAATAAATATTGAAATAAAAACTAGTAAAGTAAAATGCGGAATATATTATTTTTAACTTACGTCACAGTTAGGACAATCATGACTACGGTTTCTGCAAGGCATTTTAGTGGTTAGTACGCATTTGAATAAACTATTATATCTCATGTTTTAAACCGTTAAGTGTGTATTTAAATGTGTACTATTATCAAACGGACACTGCTCCAGATAATACTTAAGAAAGGTCTTTCAAATGTTATTCATATTGCTCAATTACAATGTTTGTAGATAAATTGTACATTGTACATCTTACTATCTAAACGGCTAGAATTTCGACATGTATGTAAAGTCAGAGGCGTGACTGTTGGCAGTTATTGGCTACAACTCATTTTAACATGCGATAAAATATAACCTCCTAATAGTCCTATAATAGATAACATGTATTATGCATGACATAAAATATACCAATGTATACCACATTGGTTTACATTTAATAACACTATTTTACTTGCTAAAAAGTTCAATTCTTTTAATATTGAACTTAGCTAACCTCTATTATATACTAGCTGTGCCAACTACTTCGTCTGTATAGAATACTTATTTTAGGCATCAAAATTTGTTTTTGCAAAACTCCTCCTCATCTTATAAATTATAGCTATATATAATATTACCCACGACGTCGGTCGCGTTTGGTCGTTATTTCAAGTAAGTCTAATCTTTATACGTTACACTGTGGCAGACATTTTTTTAGGTCATCTAAAGAGGAATTATTCTTTGGCACACATTTTTGGGCAAATTCAATAAAAACACACTTTAAGCTGTCGTTCCGAGAATAGCGTGTTCAAAAAAACAAAACTCTTCAACTGATTTGTTGATTATTGTTTTAAATTATTCTTAACAGCTTATCTCGTATACATTTCCAATTTATACATATTTATGTTTTATGCCATGCCTTTGCTCTTTGAATCTATCAATTGACCACTTTGATCAACCCAACATAACTAATAGTAATAAATCAAATAATTGTTCAATTTCCTCGAAGGCTCCACTGAAATCCATTAAACGATTCTACCCTCTCCAATATACGTAATTGCCCTCAACACGATCCTACTTCGCCCTGTCAATAGTCGAATTGGACCAAAACTCTCACATCAACATCCAATATTCCCCCAAATAAAATCTCCCTAATGTAATAGTTAGTTTCTAATTAATTAATAAGATAACCTGCTTTGCGTCATTGCCACTCCACGGTAAAGCTTAGAACAATATTTGACCGGCTCATTGGTCTAATGGTAGCAATATATTGCTAATAGTAAGCTGGCAGAGGGTTCGATCTCCACAGAATCCAACATTCGTTTCTACTATGTCTTTAATGTTGGACTGCATCTGGATATCTGGATATTAAATAGATGGTTCACAGGTGAAAAAGCCGTGAAGTTTAATCGAGTTATGGTTTCAGCTTGTGGATTTCTTAATATTTATACCCAAAATAGGTTGACGTACTATGTGGTTTAGATGTATATTTAGAAAAAATAACTAGACTTAAAAAAAAACTTCTACGCTCATATTTTAAAGCTGCAGAGTTAGTCGACCAATAGGAGAGAAGAAACATCGGAAACTGAAACAAGTTTCAGTTGCGTGCGCTGAAAAAACGTTTCATGAAACCAAAAATGTGTACGAAAGAATCATGCTTATTTGTGTTATAAAAAAACGTCCACGTGTATATCTTAATTGATTATTTGCAAGAATAATTTTGATTACCAATTATCAACAAAATTAACATCAATCTTGTTAAACAACAAAACGTGTAGCCATATCAGCTAATTTATTTATACAAGGCTAATACAAGATTTTTTTTAACATCTTCAACAAATAATGCCGAAGGAACGACAGTCTATAAGGTTTTTCTGAGATTATATTGGCTGCCTTATTTTTGTCAATAGCGAAATTCTGAAATAATATTACGAACCGTAATAATAAAATGGATTAGCTTTTTTATGATTGCCAGAATGAAACTAGTTTTTTCTTAGGGCCTTGGAAAATATAGTGAAGCTTTCAGCTCGTCTCGATCTGAATATAATTTTGTATTCTCCAAGGAGACTTTCATAAAGTAATAGGTATTTTTATAGAACGACTTTACTTACTAGATTTCTCGAGATGAAATGTCATTGTTTTTCTCTCAACATACAGTTTAAATAGATTCTAGACTAGTTGAAATTATAGTAATAAGTTAACTTATATATTCGACGCTTTCAACCATTATAAATGTTTTATTGACTTTGAATTACTCGCGTAAACTACGGCCAATAGTTTTAATAGTTTTTAAGCGACTGACTGATTGATAGATTTTGCGCTCAATTCTTCCAAAATATATCTATATACATCGTCAAAACCCGATAAATGTATTAATTCCTTACAGCGATTGTTACAAAAAATAACTCGCTTCGGGATTAATCGAGTGTATTGAAAATGGATTGCTTTTGTGTACACTTTTCTCGTACAATAGCAATGCCGAGAACGAAATCAGAAAACGTTGATTTAAAACCGTTTCTAAGGAAAATGTACTAAATTGTTCTCCCGATACGACAGAACAAAAATGTTATCTCGACCTCTCGTCATTACATTACATCTGAATATAAATCAGATTGTTAAATCCGAGGACAAAGGTTTAGTGACATCCAGACCTCTCGGGGTTCTGTCGCTACCTATACCAAAAGATGCCGTGTACACTAGTCAGTAGGCCTTATTAAATAAATAAATTGCCTACCTATACCTATATACTTGTATTATACTAAATTGTTTAAAATTAAATATTACCTGGCTATTAACATTACAATTTTAAATAGTACAATGTGTTACAAAACGTGAAGTAATCGGTATTTTTGATAAATAGGAGGACAGACAAGCACGGCGTCCACTTGATGACTTATAAATGTTGCTTAGTGGTTTTGAAATATAGAACTATGTGTAGTGTAATAAACAAAAATGGCGACAAAATCTAAGCTCTTCCTTACTTCCAGAACCCATGCGACGACCCTCGCCACCAGCGCATCTGGTCGAAAGCCAAGTGGTGCGACACGCTGCCCAGGGTACTGGTTATCGGACCACAGAAGACCGGCAGCACAGCGCTGTACACCTTCCTAGCCATGCATCCAACGCTAGTGCCCAACCAACCCAGCCCCATTACTTATGAAGAACTGCAGTTCTTCAACAATAACAACTACCTCAAAGGTCTCGACTGGTAAGCATACTCTTAACCATCATTTATCGGTATATATTATTTGATCCATACTAATAAAGCTGAAGAGTTTGTATGAACGTGCTAATCTACGGAACTACTTGTTCGAAATGAAATTTTTTTTTGTTAGTTAAAGCATATATTGAGGAAGGCTAAACTATAAAATTCATTTACACAAAACGAGACATTGGAAATTATAGTTTATCCACACATTGTTCGCGTCAGTGGTTCTTGTAATTAATCTGTAATCATGTAAGTAGATTGAATTTTTAAAATCATTTAAAGAGGAATTTTTTTCGCATGTTTTTTTCGCTCAATATAATAAAATAAATAAATAGTATCTACCTATTATCCTTGTGGATATAAAATGTAGAAATTATATAATCTATACTAATAGATAAAGAGTTTGTTTGTTTAAACGCGCTAATCTCAGGAACGGCAGGTTCGAATTGAAATAATATTTTTGTGTTGATTACAACATTTAACGAGAAAGGCTTTACCTCGATACATGTTCTAACCAACAAAAAAACCATTCGAAGAAGTAGTTCTGAGATTAGCGCGTTCAAACCAACACTAAAGCTTTATATATACCTAACTGCGATAAAATACATTTATAGAGATAATACTTGTTTTTCTTTATAATAAACGCAGACTGTAGCAGAATAATTTATACGATTTATGTAAATCGAATAAAATCTTGCGCAATTACGTAGAAACATTTTCTACAAATTTTGTTACCTCACCTTTGAAAAATTAACCAAGAAAGTGAGTGATTTCTGTATTGAAATACATAAAAATGATTTATATTTTATCACTAGCTGTGTCAGGGACTTCGTTGGCGAAAATTGTTTTGTTTGGGTTTCCAAATTCGCCTTCAAAACCCTTATAATCTTAAACTGTTACCCACGACGTCGGTCGCGTCCCTTCCCGTTGTTCTTGCAAGTTAGTTTTAGATGATAGATATATACTGTCGCGGATTTTTTTTTAGATCATTTAAAGAGGTATCATTAATACTTACATATATCTTAGGTATCTTGAAACCGAACTAGCAGACGGATGAATATTTTCCCCATTTTTTTCACATTACCCGTTGCTTCTTCTGTTCTATTAGTCACATCGCGATCTATTATAGCTATATATAGCCTTTCTCAATAAATGCTCTAATCAACACAAAAATATTTTTTCAATTCGAACCCGTAGTTCCAGAGATTAGCGCGTTTAAACCAACAAACTCTTCGGCTTTATATATTAGTATAGATTTTATCATTTCAACATTTTATATCCACCAGTATAATACTTCCTTTAAGAAACTTCCCACTTCGCTTAGACAAAGTTCAGCAATTATCTACGAGTAAACCCTAAGTTTTTATTAAGCAAAAGTTTCGCACTAGACATTATTTTGTAATTTAATCATTAGATACAATTTATATTCTGAAAATAAAAATTAAGTGATGCTTTCGCTAATCGTATAATTAAATAAAATACTTTTAACGGTTTAAAACGTAGAATATACTAGTTAAACCATGGGCCCCGTCATCATAACTGCTGCAAAACATCAGAAACGTCGCACCGTAGTTAATTAAAATTTAAATTAACTGATTTATTACGAGTTTAAACCGTTTAATTTGAACTTGTTTGTTCTGTATAATTTAGGTTTTCGCGCAGTCAGGTTGCCTGAATGGAATTTCGAAATTTTTACCGCCCACCTGTTATCCCCTCCCGACAAAAACCCAAATTTTTGAAAAAATTTTAAAAAAAAATAATTTTTTTTAAACTCAATGGGGACCGAATTCACGACCCGTTAATTACTAGCCAATGCTCCCGTCAAAACCGTTGCACCGCTATTCAAAGCCCATTTCTAGTTTGCACGTCCGAAGCTATTGTGAATAGAATAATATAGTTTTATTAAACACAAGAGCACGGAGCGATTTTATATTCCATTCAGTTGATAGTCGAGGGCTTCGCGTGCTGTTTATCTTTATTATACGTTGAAAAATGGTTATAGGTACTGTGCTCGCTGGACGCAAACATTCCCCCGTAGATAACTTAGATCGTCGTTTGGACATTGCGTGTCGTATCTTAACTTACTGTTACTACAATCTCGGCGGCGTTTTATCTGTTATTTATTGTATCTGCGACGCTCTTGCAAATCTACTGGAAGACATAGGCAATAGAAAACGATTTTCTTGAGAGATAAGCCTAGGATTCACTTGATGGGAGGTAAAACACCTCAGCTATAAAACATAAACAAATATCCAAAGCCAAATCAAATTGTGAAGGAAGATTGCTGAATATTGTCTGTAATTTACGCGAGTAGTACACATAAAACACTTTAACGGTTTAAAACGCGATATATATCAGCTAAACTCATTTGAAAAGTATATTAACTACGACCCGAAGTTTCGGTTTTCAAGGTAAAAGGTCGGGCCGTAGTTTAATACTATTCAAATAAGTTTAAGTTATATATATCGCGTTTTAAACCGTTAAAGTGTTTTATTTAAAAGATTGTTGAAGCTGAAATACAAAATGGGCTATTTCAATTATTCTGTCCTTAGTAAAAACAAGCTTGTCGGCCTATTTACTGGCTGAAGCACAGGCTTTGAGTTGTACCCTTAAGGATTTTTTTTACATGAAAATTTCAAAAATATGCAAATTTATCTATCAAGGTATATATACTAGAGATGGACGAAAACGTAATACTTTACTGGCGGGTTTTTGATACTTATGGCGAATAATCGGTTATTTGATAACAGAATACTTGTATAAGAAAAAATATTATAGTCATATATTAAAAAAATTTATCAAGTATTTATTAGTAATTTAAAAAATCTTTGAAATCCATATAAATAAATTCATAATGTTATGTTAGTCAGAACAAAATTACAATGAGAGCGAGCCGACGACTTATCGCGCAAACTGTCTTACATACTTTAGGCCGAAATGGAATTTGATAGAACGAGTTACTGCGCTAGGTTGACAAAAAATTAACAAGTAAAATCGGTATGTTACTCGGCAAACTCAAGGTTATTGCGATATTCTTAATTCACATGTTTTTAGAAAAACTATGAATTTTTAGTAACATGTTTATTTTGGTGAAAATTAATCCGCGGCCCGATGATTTTGCTAACATTTAGACCAACGTGTAGTGTCAATAACCTATATTAAAGTAGAATTATAATAAACTATATTAAGTAGAATAATAGTAACTTCGAACTGAAAGGGAAGGATTAAAAAATAAGAAGAAAACATAATTGTTTCCAAATCTTTACACCGCAACAGTAATCATATTGCTATAAAATAACATTACTCCAGCAATAACAAACCAGAGCTCAGTGTCGAATAAAAAGAAAATACACCAGTAAAATATACTTCCCTGCTCCAGTGTAGTTTATTTTAATTAAAGTTGTAGGGTCAAACTATCTCGGCCGGATATAATGGAATGGTCGATAAAAGTGACGCTATTGTAAATCAAATGTTCCATCGCGATCCAATCAGTTTTGTATTTACACCTAGACTGTACTTTGTTTGTTTTATTTTATATAGACCTTTGTTTAGTGCTCGTTATGTAAATGCGTGTACATTGTAAGCTATTGTGCTATCAAACAGAGATTTGTAAGTCCAACGTTAATAGCAACTTCCGATTGATTATTATCTTATCATTACTATCAACGGAACCATTATTACAGTCCCTATTCAAGATTTTTTTATATACAAGTGACAATATAGACTAGAAATAATTACACACCTCAGACAGACAGATTACAACCTTGATCAACTATTGCAACATTCTTCTAATGAATCTGCTGCAAATCTGAACATCGGGCCGTAGCTAAAAATAATTTTCAAAAAAGTTTAACTAAAATATATCGCGTTTTAAACCGTTAAAGTGTTTTATTTAAATGTGTTTACATCATAAAATAAATGAAAATTTAAACAATATGAAGTTTAAACTTTAGTAACTATTTAGGACGTAAATTACTTTGTTTTAAAATTAAGAAAAGCCTTAATCGTAGAATATGTGAACGAGTATGTTTCCGTAACTCAGTAGTAAATTGCATCAATATTTTATTATATAGAACTACAGGCAACCCTGTGACGTCACACCATAGTAATATAACTATGTCAACGCATGAATTAAAATCAAAGCATATAGCAGTATATGTAATTCATAACCCCTTTATTAACAAGCGAACGCGTTCAAACGTTTTGATGTTATCTCGGATATTTCATATGGAAATCGTCGCACCTTAACCTACATACATATTTATATATACGCATATATAAAACAGGTCAACGCAATTTGTTCATCAACCCCCTTAGCTTTAAATTACACCGATCGATCCGGCTTAGCACGACAGCTTTCAAAGTGCTGCAAGAACTAAATTCAAAGTTTGATATTGACGATACTACTACGATTACTAGGGAATTTATATTTTGCTACTCATTTTAATGCACGTATTATCTAAATAGAACACTTGTTCTATACGTTTTACAGATGGTTTAATTCTTGATATATATTAGCTTATTTTTAACTGCGACCCGACATCTTGAATTCGCGGTAGTCATGATAAATTTACCGTTAACATACACACATACTGTACAGCATTACAGTACACGTTAGTTTGTTTTATATATCTATATATGTATATATGCCGGAGATGCAAATGGATTAGGGCTAAAGTGGTCAGACATATTGTCATTGCGCACACCCGGCGTAGGCGACGTTCTGAACGCAAGTGAATCGTGAGATCTTTGACAGATTGTCAACTTTAACAGTTAAACTCTGAAGTTAGACGTAATTTACTCTGCGTGACACAACGCAGAGTAAATTATGTCTAACTTCAGAGTCGTAAGAATAATTCTCCAACGAATATATAGTTTGTAGTTCCGTAGTTCTGTCACTTCTTGCCCCCCGAGGGACGCTGAAAAACGGCTCTTTGGGGGTGATGTACAAGCCGAGTTTCTCCCATTTCACACGCATTTTTCTTTGAATTTAGTTATTAAACTTACGTATTAGGATTATTTAGTTAGGATTGTTCTTAGGTTGTTTGTGATAATTATGTGTATGTGTGAAATAAACGGTTTGAGTTTTGATATATGAAACAATGTCTCCTAAATTTCTTCACACCAAAGTACTATTAGACTACGTTTATACTAATACTAGCTGTGCCCGCGACTTCGTCCGCGTGGAATAGTCACTTGGGGTAGAATTTTTAATTATTTAGGCTGTTTATTAAATTATGTAAGGACGCATTTAAGGCAGCCAATCTATGTTGTAAGTGCTACGTTGCCGCAACACTCTCACCTCACATCACTCCTACTCCCACTCTTATTACCAAAAAGTTTCATTGTTCTAGCTTCAGTAACCACGAATTTCCATACAAACTTTCACCCCCTTTTTCTACCCCTATCAACCCTTATTTAACATTTGGTAGCCTATTTCCTTTCTCAATATCATTTAAATCAGTTCAGTAGTTTCGGAGTTAAAGCCGGACAGACAGACAGAGTTACTTTCGCATTTATAATATTATTATAGATTTATGGATGTTTACAAAAAAGTCAACTAAGCCTGTAACTTTCGTGTTTACTTCGTGTTATTGCTCAATTAGGTCCTCCAAACATTAATAGGGAAATGTTAACAGCATATTTTATTTTTAAGTGCCGCCGCTACGCCGTTACTACACTTAACGTCAAACGACTGCATGTCTATAACTAAACGAGAGCGTATTTAGAAATAATTGTAATAGTTTTTGCATGGCCTTAAAACTTTAACTACAAGGAAATGTAAATAGATTGGGTCGAAACGTGATTTGAATTATTATTTCATCCACAAAGAAACAGAGGGCGCTAGTAGTAGCTTAATTACATTAACCCTTTTTAACTATGTTACAACGAATTTAACTCATCTGTATTTCTAGCAACTATGTTATTTTCTAATAGGTATTCCGGGAATATATGAAAAACTATCTAACAGTATAACAGACACAGAAATGTGTTTTTTATTTCTAGTACATATTTTGTCTTCGTTACGGTAAAAATGGCATAGCTGTATTTGGATAGGGTCTAAAGGCCAAATTAAAAATACACCTTCTTATAAGATCTCGTAATATAATACGTGTTCGTCAAAAGTCAAGACAGATAACAAGCGCAAATGTACACGTGCCTTATATAATTCGTTTCCTCAAATCTAATAATATCTTTATTGAGAAGTGACGTAATTGTTGGCTTTATCCGACTTCCGTTGGCACTTATGGGAACAATTAAATTCATTTTAAGGGCAAAGAAACATGGAATAATTACATATTTCTTAACGAGATGTTCCCGCGGTCTTGCCTGTGATACGTGACTATTGTTATTGGATATTGCAAATGTATTCAAAAGAACGCTTGACAGAAATAATGCAACGTTCAAAAAGTAAAGTGTTGTTAAAATGAGAGCAGCCGTTCTCAAGTATAAATGTGCAAACAAACAACAAATATGTTTTTAATAACGATATTTTCTAACCAAAAGTTTCCGTTGCGTGTGTTGCGCAACGTGTAAAGATGAACAATTTGCCCCGTTTCTTCCATATTTCACATATCTTCGCTCATATTGGTCGTAACTTGATGTTTTATAGCGTAAAGCCTTCCTCGATATATCTAACTAATACAACATTTTTCAATTCGAACCAGTAGTTTTTGAGATGAGCGCGTTCAAACAAGTAATAAACAAACTCTTTAGCTTCATGCTTCAGCACTTTAGTAAAGATTTTGAATTTGAGGCCGCTAGAGCCAGAGTAGCCTAACTACAATTGCTCATTATTGAAAATCATGTTTTTTGTTGTTGTTTTTTATTAGGCCACTCTGCCTCTAGCAGCCTCACTGTTAACCTAATGTTATAAGACGATTGAGTAAGAGTCATATTTTAATACATTGACTCTCCTGTCATAAAGGCCTTTGAACTAAGACCTGTTCTAAATCCCGCAGGTATCTGAACTTCTTCCCTCCGAACCAGAGCAACGCTTCGCAGATCACGTTCGAGAAGTCTGCGACATACTTCGACGGTGACCTAGTGCCGAGACGGGCGCACGCTCTCTTACCCAATGCGAAGATTATTGCGATACTAATCTCGCCCTCCAAGAGGTACTGTACAAAGATGACTTATGATTTTGTTATTATTTTTTTAATTATTTATTTATTTAGCACTTATAACTTTACAATGAATTTACAAGCCATTTTTATTTTACATTTATCACTTGTGAGAGCTGGATGCCTGTTGTAGGTAACCTGTGATACAAGTCACCAAACCCCTCGCCGTAAGCTCAATATAAAATACTTTGGTCAATTAAATAAAACACTTTAACGCTTTAAAACGCGATATATTAGTTAAACTTATTTGAAAATGATTTTTAACTTCGGCCCGACGTTTCGGATGCTTTGCAGCAGCCGTGGTCACGGGGAGACACGGGGTCTCCCCGTGACCACGGCTGTACTAGACAGTATTTAATGTGGACAATATAAAAAAATAACTCAATACTTAGAATATAAACTTAGAAAGCCTCTGTGTTTTGATTATATATATTATATAAGAGGGTAATTGTTTAGGTGTGTTTATTGCGAGCACTATATGGAGATACGACCATTGTAAACTAGGTATCACATAGTGTTATTATTAGGTGTTGTCTATAGTTTACACGAGTTAAACACATACAAAAACTTTTAACGGTTTAAAACGGAAAATTAAACCATTGGCCATTGTCATGATGACGTTAATTAGGTTGGAAATGTATAGATTTCCTAAATTAATATTATTTTTATGATAGAGAATGACAGACAAACATAGGGTTCAATTATAAATACCCCAATCATATTACATATACACACGATGCGCTATCGACCTATTTTGACTTTGGATATTCGGATGAAATCCAAAACGAACAACGCAGTACGCAGTTGGTTCCAGTTATTGTCAACAAGTTATCCAATAAAACTATTCTTATAATATTAACGTCTTGAATTTTGAAACAAACAAATTTAAACTAATTTGATACACGTACTTAAATTATTTAAAAACTGCCAAGAGCAAAGTAGGGTCATATTAGTGTGTATTATGAGTTTCTTTATATAAGCCACATTTTACGTTTTATTACCAGTACAACGTAACAACATAAGTTTTACCTGCTCCGCAACACAAAATGTATTAACGTTGAAAAGTTTTAACAATCTACCGTCTTAATAAGGAAACAAATTATAACGTTCTATTTACCCGCGTTTATTTTCGTCCTATGTATGCTTCAGTCGTTAGCAAAAATCTTATAAGCTTATAATATTCGTTCTCTTATAGTCTTTGATTCTAGAGAGTGAGGTGAGTTTGCCTTTTTAAAATTATTTTGTGATAATCCGAAGCCAAAATATCGACAGCGCATTTAGTTTAGATGTTGTGTGGCTGGGATATTTCATCTCCTATAGAGATGGTGAGAGGACAGACCCAACGCTGGTCTGTCCTCTATCTATATTTAAAAAAGTATAGTTTATATCGTAATAGATTCACAGGTTTCATCTAAATACTGTCTATAGTTTACGCGAGTAGTACACATGTAAATAAAAGACCTTAACGGTTTAAATCGCGATATATTAGTTAAACTTATTTGGAAATAAATTTTAACGAATATATCGCGTTTTTAAACCGTTAAAGTGTTTTATTTAAATTTTTCATATAATTTGTTTAATCTTTACTAAGTATTCGTGAAGAGTACATATAAGTAAGAAAATAAATAAAACTCTAATCAAGATACTTTAAATAAAATACTTTAACGGTTTAAAACGCGAAATATATTAGTTAAAATTGTTTTAACTACGGCTCGACGTTTCGGATGCTTTGCAGCAGATGTGGTCACAGGGAGTAGGTCAGTAAATGTGTACTACTTGCGTAACTACAGTGGTATTTAAATCGAACCATAGACTTCAGAATTTAAAGTCACTACATCAAAGATAGTACCGCATCCTCGTCGATTACGCCACTCCCAAGGGAACGATTAAGTCTTGTCTGGTAATGTCTCTCGCCATACATCTCTGGTCTGGTTTTTCTTGAGCAGCACCTTGATTGCCGCTATACAACCTAATTGCCCGGGCGAGCACTTGAATACCTTCTGATGAGCATATATTCTAGGCCAAATGATGTGAAATTTCGCTCGTACGGGCTAAGAGACGTGTTATTATTTAGTTCTTCCCTGCGTTGTATTTGCTAGTAGCATCCTGTCTAAATTTATATTTTTAAAGATCACAAGAAAAACTACGATAATTATTAACTGGTTCCATTTCTATATTAAATCACATAACTCTAATATCATCAATTTTTGAATTATTAAATAACACAAGACTAAATTACTTAAAAGAAAGAGTGATTGACTATTCAATCGGGCAGAGTCGCCCCTTCGGTAAGTTATCGGCACATCCAAACTCCGTCGTAATGAGGCGCGCACGCGCTTTTATTGACTTGTTTTCAACCACTTCCTATACCCCTCTTTATAACGTCTTTCCTCTAACCATTGTTTTTTAAAAACTATTATCCTCATCATATAGTAAATAGCCATTGTTATCTGACTTTACCAATTCTACAATTACCTTGATAAACATTTACTGTTAAGTAAACAAACTGAAAACGTTTCAACAATTCAAAACAGCCGAACAGATATTGCGGCGCTACCCTATTTTACAATTTATTCCCCTGAGGCCTACTTGCTGCAATGGAAAAATAATTATCGGGAACAAACGCGCAAAGCCTTCATGTAAATATTTCAATCAAGTCCATTTCTTGTGTTTCGGCCTCGTTATCAGGCGTGGAACAAAAATGAAAATAGTTAAAAACACGCTTTCATCTCAATACCAATACTGAAAATTGAAATTCTCTGTTTATCGAGTGGAGGGTCTCAACAAAACTTTCCGTTTGACCATTCGGTACGCGATCGGTTTGCGGTTAGAAGAAGCATCTTTTAATTTCTGAGCTTAATATTATAAATGTTTACTTTTAAATACATATGAATTAAAAACCTGTTTTTTGTATAATAAAACCTCATTTCCCTTCGTAGTACTTGGAACAGACATATTATATATAACAAAGTGTTTAATTAACTGATCGCTTTTATGTATAAGCCTGTAGTTGATAAGAATTTTGTGCCCACCCCGACCGAAAGTATATATAAGGATTCCCCAGAAGTCAAAACTAGAGCCTCATGCTGTTAGCGCAGTGTTACTGCACTAAACGTGAACTATAAAAAATATTTAAGTGTTGTAGTGAAGTGTACGCCTACTGTAGAAATAAATATCTCAACCTAAATTACTTTGATCTTTCGTTTCGTGTAAATCAATGAATGTATGTAGTCCCAACATAGTCTAAACCAACTCTGTAATCGGGGTGAAATTGCTGATTGTTTTCCGACACTATACTGAACTGTTGCATTTTTTTCTTTATACTCGTTTAGTCGTAATACTCATGCCTTGATAAATAAACTCTAGCTGTGGCCGCGACTTTGTCCGCGTTAGATAGTTATTTTGGTCAAAAAGCTTTGTCTCTCTTCCCTCCAACTCCTTCATAAATTTTTGCTGTTGTGTTGTCTGCGTCCCGACGTTCTTGCAAGTTAATTTTAAACGACATATGTCTGCCGTTATATACTCGTTAAATAGATCGTTTAAACAGGAATCATTATTTCGTGCCTTTTGGGTATCTTGAACCGATAAATATTTTTCCATGTTTTTCCACATTTCCCTAAGTTTCTCCAATTGGTCGCAGTTAGACGTTTTATAGCCTTTCTCGACAAATGCTCTAAAAACATAAACATTTTCAATTCGAACCAGTAGTTCCTGAGCGTGTACAAACAAACAAACTTTTAAGCTTTGTATATTATTATAGATAATTACGCATATGATACGAGTATATAGAAATGTAACAACGCTGTTTTTACGCTTATTGTTTAATATAAACTTTAAAGATAAATTAATGTTATCCTTTTTCAGAGCGTATTCGTGGTACCAACATATTCGCTCGCACGGTGACCCGATCGCGAACAACTACACCTTTCACACAATCATCACTGCTAATGATTCAGCGGCGAAACAGTTACGAGATTTGAGGTAAGCTCTTCAATGTAGCGATCTATAGCTAGTAATAATCAACGGGTCGCAATTTCGAACCCCACCGGGGTCAACGTGTTTCTTATCATTTCTTACTTTTGTGAAACATGTTGGACTTCATCTAGTTATCTGGATATTACATGGTTGGAATATCAGAAATACCGTCTGGGTCCACGAAGCACTGTCCACAGAAGAAAATGCCGTGAAGCTGTAGGAAAAATCGGTCGACATCCTGAAAACAGCATAAAGACTATTGTTCTATTTATTTAATTAAATCTTTAGTTTCGTTAACTATCAAACTAATACTAGGGATACAGTATCCCGACGACTCCCTTTTTTAATATCCTTTCTACCCTTTGTCCGATCTTTCGTTGGCATGTAAGCACCCCTTTTTTATAATTAAATTGTTTTATCGAGCTTTTAAAGTTGTTCGAGTGTTAATTCTATTTTTAATTTACGCTAACTAGATTAATTCCTTTCCGAGTAAAAATACTTTTTCGTTTCAAGACTCCATGGGTTTCAATAAACTATTTATTTACTTACATGAATCCTTTAAGACGAAAAAAACGTGTATATTTTTTTTGTATTAACATATAAATTAATTATTTACTTAATGAGCTTGTTAAAAAAGTCACGTAGTGAAATAATTTTTATATTATTGTTTGTTGTCCCTTTGTCGACCCATTTGTATTGTTTTTAAATTACACAATCATTTTTTATAGCTAATTTATAACACTTGAGAGCTATGAGTAGTCTAAGAAAAGACAAAGTCGCTTATATTCCGATATTTTGAACAACTACACGTCCGTTAAGTTACTAAAACAACCCGCCCTTACAAATGACAGATCCCCGATATTCCATTTCGAAAACAATCGTTATAGGAATTCTTGTTATATCTTATTTGTTGCGATAACAAGTTAACAATTGGATTTCGTGCCCCGAACAAGTTGGAATTAGTATGGCTCTCCCTTTTTTCGCGTTTCCAGATAAAATGAGTCGGAGAAAAATTTTACGCTACAATTGGTGTTATCTCTCCTAACGCGTTGAATTCAAACTTTCTTTTTCAGAACTATTTTTAAATAGACTATACATAGATATTTTTATATTCATATATACTTTACCTTTGTACAATTAAACATGTTGGTTAATACCTAAATAAATTACAAGACGAAACGAACAATTTTAGAATTTAATTGGCATCTACACTATACACAATATAATGTTATCACTCGTGTAAATAACACGATAATTGATACATTATTTATCTGTATATCTATTATTATTTTATATCAAACCTGTGAAACCCACAGCTTTTTGTTATGCTATCGAATCAGGCAAAAACTTTTAAACGCACACATGCACTAAATGTTATTCCTATTCAATAAAAAAAATCTACCGCAAACGTGATTCCATTTGTAGAACGAAGTTACCTAATGGATCAATCAGCCCCATAACAGACAAGGAATTAAAAAAAAAAAAAAAGTTAAGCATTAAACAAAATGTCATCTAAGTTCTGTAGCTAGTCCTAATAACATATGTAAATTCTAACTTGAACTAATATCACAAACTTTCTTAGGAACCGCTGTTTGAACCCGGGCAAGTACAGCCACTACCTAGAGCGATGGCTCTCGGAGTACAATTCGCACCAGCTGCACATCATCGACGGCTCGCTGCTCCGATCCGAGCCGGCTGCCATCATGAACACGCTGCAGAAGTTCCTCAAGATAACTCCACACGTCGACTATAATAAACTACTCAAGTGCGTATGAATATATATTGATCCAGTGTTGTATGTTACGTATACAGCCAAAACAGATTAGACTGACAGATACAGACAGTTAGTTTATAACGTTGATGATTTTTTTTTTCAAATAAACCAAAATAGTTAAAAACAAATACCAATAACATTACTAATTTCAGAATTAGCCTTGAATTGTGCGACTATTATTGATGAATTACTAATATCAAATTAGTCTTGAAACGTATCGTTTAGATGGTGACTATTAAGTAGAATTTTACCATCTTTGACAAATGTTTCTACCAACAAAAATTAAAGTAGATGGTCACTTAAAATCCGTTCTCACAATTAACCGCGTAGGAAAGCCTGTGGTTACCCATAAATGCCAGTTAACCGCGTAGGCGTAACGCGTTACGTCGTTTTTACATGATTAGTTTTCCATCGTATTCTTCAGTGATCACTACATCTTATGTAGTTCACTAAAGAAAAGTGATACGATTCTTACGATGAGACGCGTATCGGCGTGGGAAAGAGATAGACAGTTATAAATAGCAAGTGGCTTAATCTGGAAAACCTGTACAGACTAAAGGATTTTGATAAAAGCTTTGATGAATAGCAGAAAGCGCCCTGCGACATATTAGCGTCATTATCCATTCTATGGTAATGTGTGGTTATATGCTAAGTCACAGGCCATGACATAACGACATTGGAGTTACGAATTTTCAATGGCTGTTGCAATGTTTTGTTTCAAATATTGCTGTTTTGCATGCGATTTCTACATTAGTTAGTGATATTAGCTTTCAAAAGTAGTGTTGAATTATACGAACTTTATAGTACTAAAAGGAATTTCAAATTAGTCACTAAATTTGTTTTCCTCGCCTGTAAGTTAATTCTTTAAAAAACAAAAAAAGACCATATTTTGTTGTTTAAAACAAGGTTTGAAACTACAGTAATAACAACAATTATTGAAAGTATATTTTTGATATAAAACACTTAACGGTTTAAAAAAAATTCTGCCCGTGAGTTCTGAAATGTCGAACCGTAGTTAAAATAATTTTCAAATAAATTTAACTAATATATATCGCGTTGTAATCCGTTAAAGTGTTTTATTTAAACGTGTACTACTCGCGTTAACTACAGACAGCATTTTATAGAACAGATAAAACCTAATATTAAATAACTTGAAAACATTAATATTTTTCACATGTTATTGCACATGAAGGCACTATATAATTTAAAAATCGAAAATAAATTGAAAAAAATTTTTTTTTTTTTTTCCTCTTCCCCCCCCCAATTTTTTTTAATTTATTTTCGATTTTTAAATTATTAAATCACTTTCCAAACACAAATTTGCTTTTGTTATAGGGCCTAAACTCGTAGACGTCAATATTTTGACTTTTTAGAAGAATGTAAATAATTTTTGTCTTATAACTTACAAAAAACATATGTACAACAAATACAACTACCTTTCAATGACTTCGTCTGATAAACAGAACAGTAACGCCCATTTATAAACAGATAAATGGAAACATAGTCCCAATTACGTGGAACGGAACGGCGTTTTTTCCGCAAAATACTCGACGCCGGGTTATCCCGCCGTATGTTAGGAGCTTACACCGCCTAAGCCGATACACGTCCATAAGGCGCTTATGTATTTCATTTGAGACATTATTTGTTATTCAATTTCTGCTCGCACTGCCGTTATCAATTTTGCGGCAACACTGAAAACGTGGCTTGGTTTGAATAGAAAGGAAAGTCCGCTTGATTTATTGACTAGTGTTTATAGCTGGTATCATTAATTTAAGGTCTATTACGTATTGTATATTGCCTTGTGTTATTGATAACCTTACACGTTTACTTAACATGCTATTTTCGGTAAAAGTGTGATAAACAAGAAAAAATAGAACAATGTTTTATTTAAATGTGTACTACTCGCGGAAACTATAGACAGTATTAAAAATCTATTGTATTCATTTATATAACTTTTTTTTAAACAGCACAGAAATGGTTTATATTAATAAAAACGTATGAAGCTTATAATAAAAGCGCGATCTCTTCTAGGCATCAAAAATCCGAAGGGAAAACAAGAAAGAAATGTTAATTATATATATGGTCGTGCTAGAGACGAACCTGAAACAGGAAGACATTTTTAATAAATTTACATTTCAGAGTACACACAAATTATACCCAGCATGGCTCCAATATAATTAAATTAATGAAGGTTCAAAACCACGTGGGAACCAATTTGTATTTAAATAAAACACTTTAACGGTTTAAAACGCGATATATATTATTTTAGTTAAACTTATTAGAAAATTATTTTTAACTTCGGCTCGACAAAGCTTCCGAATGCTTTGCAGCAGCCGTGGTCACGGGGAGCGTTTAAAACCGTCAAAGTGTTTTATTTAAATGTTTACTACTCGCGCAAACTACAGACATTTAAGCCAATATGTTGGTAGCGAGTGATCCGTGTAATTCCATTAAATTCCAGCAATATTTTCGACAACTAATTAAGTAATAACATGATACAAATTACGGAACTTAATAATCGTCAGAAGAGGAATTTAAATTAAATTCGTCGCGTCGCGTCGTTGAGGCGTGATTTTGTAACAAATAGAATTTCTCATTTGTATGCCGAAGTTTCAGCATGGATTTGCGATCGCTGTAATAAGCGGAATTATTTTACGAATTAAGTCCCGCTTCGAGTGTTTGAAATAATTCTAATAGATTTTACGATTCCACCTAAGTCCATAATGTATATTCTTATAACGATTGTTTCAGGTACGACGCGAAAAAGGGATTTTTCTGTCAAGCTATGGGTAACGAGAAGACGAAATGCCTGGGTAAGTCAAAAGGCAGGGTTTACCCGCCGATGGAAGACAGGTCCGCCAAGTTCTTGAAGCGATATTACACGCCCCATAATACCGCTCTCTCCAAGCTCCTGGTGCGTTTAGGCCGACCTGTCCCGCAGTGGCTGAAAGATGAACTATCCAACGGATAGCACAACTTGCAACCGAAAAGGTTGGAACGAAATACGAACGCGCGCGGACTGATCAAAATTTGCGTAGTGACATTGTAAAGAAGTGATCAGGCAAGGTTTGCTTCAAAGATCCGTGATTGTAAGACGGTAGATTACCTCTACTTGTTAATTCGGACAGTGCAAGTGGAAAATTTTAATTGTTTGTGATGTTATGGTAACTGAAGCAAATTATTGCCAACCATTTTTCTTAATACGTTCAGCGCCACCTTTGTATCTAGAAGCGAAACTGTTTTTATCAAAATTGGACTCTTTTCATAATCCAATTGAAGAAAATAGTTGGCTATATTCGAAAGAAATGTTGGCTGCGAAACCTGCAATAAAGCCATCCTTTTAAAGTTAGTTATTCTGAAAATATGTCCATAAAAATATTAAATTAAACCGATATTGTAAACTTATTTTTTCCCAAAATCGCGTCGCCGGTGATACTGAACGTGTTTAAAGCGTGTACGCTCCAAGTTATAAACTTCGGGCGTCCGTTCAATACGTACATAAAAATGTTTGTCGATGTGAGAGTATTGTTGTTGATATCGAATCTTGTATATATGCTTATCGAGTGGTCGTATAGTTTTAGTTCGAAGATGGTTTTACTTGCCAATAACTGATATTTTATATCGGGCTCGGTGCTACGTCTTGTATACTCTGGAAATCTCACGCCACTAGTTTTTAATTTACAAATTCAGTAAAACATTGGGCATTTTCAACTTCTCTTATAGAGTACTTGACTATATTAAACATATATGTTTAGAAACCACGTGGTTTATACTATTTTTTTTATTATATTAAATCACTCAAAATCTAATTGTAACGAGTTTTTTTTGTGAAAATATTATTATGTTTGTCATTATCATTGTTTTCGGGCTGTTCGGCCGACGTGAGCGAGAAGCGGTTCTCGACGTTTCGCCATCACGACCGGACGGGGACCATCAGCAGATGTAAACTCTTTGATTGCTCGAAGAATTAACGAACCGTCGAGAACCTCTTCTCGCTTTTGTCGGCGGAACAAACCGAAAAACAATAATGTGCTGAACGATGGCCGTGACATTTACAGCCGTTAACAGCCCTACCATTGAATTGCTTATGTATTCTAGTTTTCATCTCAAAACTCCCAGATAAATGCAATGTATCGTCACGAATTCTTATTTAATTTCTCATTCCATCTATCACACGCTTATTTTAGTTGTACAATATGCGTACCTGATTTTATTCGTACGTGTCTTACCTCAGTCTGTGCCATACTGAATCGATCAAATTGTTTTAATCGAGGTCTGGAATGAATTATGGCTGACGTTTTGTTTAATCACGCTTCGGTTATGTTGACTATAGAAACGACGATTAAATGTCTATATTAACAAAAGTTTACGAAAAATATAGTACCTAATATGTATATGTACCGTATTATCGCTTCTACAATAGCGGTATTGAAATTCAATAAAATAAAAAACTCTTAATAGATAATACTTTGTCCAATATAGTTTGTTAAGTTTGACAATTCACAATACAGATAGTAATTATTGTTTTATACTTCTATAATATATTATAGTTTTTTTTATTGAAGGGGAAGCATGTGCTGTCGATCTAATTTTGCTTAAGATATTCTGAAATCCAAAGACTGTCTCCGAAACGCTATACAACTGTTTTTTTTATCTGTAGACAGTACTTTGTAACCCGGACGGTATCCAAACAATTTGACATCTAAATTACCAGACAAAATAATAAATTGATTAGTTACATTATTAGCCCGGAGGAAATAGAACCCACGACCCATTAAGACACACACGTCGCTACCATAAGACCAATTGAATAATATGGGTTTGGTATAGCTCCCTTCTAATCTTATTTGAAGTCATTTTTCAAATTTGTCAATCTATATTAAACAATGTATAAGACACTTTATTTTCAACATGACCGTTTCGTATATGTGATCGCAATAAATAGATATTTTTATAAGCTTAAATTTTATAAAACGATTCGTCGCGAACTGAACGAACAATACTGGTACTTAAACAACCGACTCTGAAATTTTATCACGGAAAGATTTACGTCAAAGTGTTTTAATGTACATAAAATGAATTTCTCCCCGAAAGCTTTATAGATATATCTTGTAAAAATAATATTTAAAACATATTTCTTTTAGAGACGTTATAGACCGTTTTGAACTAAAGGCGCGTACACTTAACTTTTAGTTTAAGTAAAGATGTAGTTTTATACATTATTTTTAAATTCAGTTTAAACGCGCCTTGTAGTTCTGGATAAAGATGATATTGTTAGTTTTAAATTCAAGGAGCCTAATATTTATATTTAGAACTATTGTGAAATGATTTGTTACGGCTTGTGAATTGTTTTATAAGTATAATAAATATTCATTGTTACATTTCGGCGATGGAAGTGAACGAACAAAAAGAATTCCTTGTCATATTTGTGTAAAATACGTTATGTGTGATTCGTTCGCATCCCATCTCTGACGAGTAAAGTTATTAAAACGATCTGAAATAAATGTATTACAATATAAATTAATTATTTTTCATTTGTATAAAAGCAAAGATATTGTTCTTTAATGTGTTCTTTTTATTATGAAATTATTACATCACTTATTTTATTAAATGATAAAATGAAAGTCTTTGTTTTATTTCATTTGATACTCTACTACGTAGTTGTAGTGTCAGAGAATAGTAGTTGAAATTAGGTATATTGTAATCCAAAAAACTACTAAGCTTCAAATTTTAATTATCGTGTTATTTCAGTATTTAATTTATAGTTGTTCGCAAAGGTAAGTCTTTTGTTCGTACAAAGTAAGTTAAACGCGCGGTCCTTTGCTTTGGCCTTCTATACTTTTATTATATACTAGCTGTGCCCGCGACTTCGTTCGTGTGGAATAGCGACTTGGGGTATAATTTTTAATAATTTAGGCTGTTTATTAATTTATGTAATTGATTAATTGAAAATATTAATAAAACTTTAAAAACCACGAATTTCCATACAAACCTTACCCCCCCCCCCTTATCCCCCCCTACAACCTATTACAACTCCCTTTTCGTAACAAAAAGTAGCCTATGTCTTTCGCATAAATTTCTTAAATAAAAATTGTTTATATTATTTATTATTAAATTGTGTATATAAGCAGTAGTATATTATTTCACTCCCCCTGTTGAATGGACCTTATATCTATATGGACCACGATTAGTCATATTGATTTTATATAGAAATGATTTTAATAGTACGTTTACGTATTTACATTAATAAAATACTTATTTTTACTTGGATGTATTGTTATTAAAATTAAATTAAAAGTTCTTGACTTCACCACGACTATGTAACCCACCTCCTGGCGCCAAAACTAGATCCGCCCTTATGACGCAGACATAAAATCTTTTTACGAACAATATGAATATGTATATAATACATACCTTATTAGCATATTAAATGAAGGTACGTGTCGACGGTACAGACGTTTGGATACCAAAAAGGCCGCGGGATGCCCTTTTCGTAGATCGACTCCACTCCGTCGATCATAGCTTGAAATTCCATATTATATGCATATATACGAGATAAATCAATACTTATTACTAACCCAACTAACACTCTCATTAGTTTAAAAGTGGATCAATGTTCTGACAAATAAATTATTTCAATAAAACACTTTGACCGATTAAAACCCTAAATATATAAGTTTAACTTATTTTAAAAAAAGTCGGGCCGTATTTAAAATATTTTTAATAATAATATTTCGCGTTTTAGACCATTAAAGTGTTTTATTTGAATGTGTACTACTCGCGTAAATTATAGACAGTAATTAAATGAATTGTTATAATTGTTCACTTACTTCAATGGAATACTTAAGGTGAGCCAGAGTAACCTAACTGCATTTTTATGGCACGTCTGATTTATTCGTATATTTTTTATAGACTAAAAATGTTAATCTACTGTAGTAGAGTTCACAGTGCTGTAGCACTGTGAACGAAAATTGTTAACATAATTCTTACTCAAATAATAGTATAAATTCATTTATGCCTAAGTTAATTGCGCATTTTTGATTTTCTCCTTATTAAAAATCATGTTTTCTTATTAGGCCACTCTGGCTCTAGCATATTAGCCTCATATCAGAATTGACTTGTGGGAATGGTTCACACTCTATTAAGCTGAGCATACGACTCGTGTGTGCCAACGAAATAAACCACGAGAAAATGTATCCGTTTTCCCTTAAAAGATTTGAAAGTATGCGGTTTATTGCAGAGCGTTTTAGAAGATTGCGTCTCATCGCAGGTTTACCTTCAGTAGCGTTCACCGAGTGCAATTTAAAACAAAATACAGTTTAAGGCCTCGGTCTCTTAAAAACGCTGTTAGTAACAGTAACGCGTTTTGCTGTATATAGATAACAATAAATGATATTATCTATCGCTAGTACTCATATCTTGTGCACGATGGACAAGGTCTTATAAATCGTATAATATTTTTGCTGTAGCGTCGTCTCACTAGACCTCCTCCGGGATGATCTCATTCACTTGAACTGTGACGGACACACAATGACATGAAACCTGCTGTAATAGTGGAGAAGAAGTTACCAGTGGCCGCAACTGATGTCAACGGTCGGATGTATGAGACAATAGCAGTACATTTGTATTATTGCAACAATATAATAGTAAGCGACGCGACGCTATACGCGGCGTTAATATCCGACCACAGTCTAACCGCCCCTAAACGTCTTGAAAAATCTATTACTTGAGGCGATCGCTCGCTACGGCCCGCTTTGAGGTAAATTCTAGCTTTTAAACGCCCGATAATGCTTGATTGTATCCACAGAGGTAAGCCTAGGAGACGTTTTATTAAATTTTTTCACGCTTCTATGCAGTTTGAGTTTACGAATTGTATCACACGAATTTAATGTGTATGTGAAACCAACAGTAGAGAATAGTTTAGATAACAAGGTACGCTTAAATCTAAAAACTACTCATAATGTTTTCATC